TGTAAATAATTCAAGGTTTTGTAGTCACTATCAGTTCCTAATTGTTCCTTCTTCTCCCTTTTTCTTACTAATGAGAATTTCTCCAACTGTTGCCCAGACCTTTAGGGTGGTAAATATCTGAAAGATTGTCTCTAGGATTCCTGTGAATTAAAATATGAAAATCCAACACACAACCTCAGTGATAATGAAAAATCCTTTATTAAATAGATTGTCTGAAGTCTTAAAGACCTCTGTTTCCTATCTTTTGCTTGCAGAAGAGATTTTTGTATTCATTTAAGATTTTTCAGAACTAACTGAAGTGGGATTTTCTTGCTAAACTTTTTCTTAGGTAGCTGTATAACTGCATATTTATTCAGCATATTGATTTGATTTCATATGGGGTTTTTTCCTCTTAGCACTTAACATGTGGGGTAATGGCTTATATGTAATAGACAATCAGTGATAAAACGTAATCCTTTTCTTTTAGGTGGTGACTCTGTAGTGACATTGGAGGATATTCTGCTCTTTGTAACAGGCTCCTCTTATATACCAGCCATTGGTTTTGATCCTGAACCTACTATTAAATTTTTACGTATAAGGTATCCCAATGGAAACAGACTTCTTAATTGCTTAGAGCTTCCTAGAACAAAGACGTATCAGCAGTTCAAAAATAAAATGGAGCTCACCATCAGAAACACACTAAGAGTTGAAAGGGAGTAAGTATTTTTGCTATGAAACTGAACGTTGGAAACTTGAGTTTTCTGCAGGAACATCTTCTTTCAGTTTGCTACTGTATTTTTGGACGTGCTTTTAGTATTTTCTGACCTTTCCTCCAAAATTATGCTAAAAGTTGTTATGAGATGGAAAACAATTTTCAAATTAAAAAAAGCCTTTATCTCCTGAATAGTTTTCTTTTTGAAGTTGACCTTCAGAGTCCTGCATCTCTTGCAGAAGTAGTTTAAATGTCAGCTTTTGCTGCAGACAGGTATGAAAAACACACTCTGTAACAGGTAAGTATGTGGATTGTATCAAATACTTAGGTAACTTATTTGTCAAAAACAAACCAAGTACATTTTGAAGATAATTGCGGTAGAGCATTGTCTTGCATAAAACTGTGATGCAGTTCTTCAGTTCTATATATAGAGTTTTTCAGTAATTGTTTTGTATTGATTCATTTATGTTCTTATGGTTCATAAAAACCTAGGAAAATTAAAATAATTGTAGTTTTATGGTCATTGTGGCTAGTGCACTGAAAATCTGGAGAAAACAGCTAAAATAATACAGTGTAAGAACAAAATTTGATTGAACTTGTGTCTCTGTTTTTAAACAAGATCTTTGACATTTCCACATTTCTGCATTCTACTGTCATACATTAATTTTTAATTACTCATAGGGCCAAAATAGTAAAAACCAGAATGAAATCTTGATCATGCAGCAATACCTGGCCTTTCAAAGTGAAATTTAGGAGTTAGACTTAATGTTTTAAAGTATGAAAGAACAAAAGTTTGTTGCTCATTAGAGCATATAAACTTGTCCTCCATTTAAGTATTTTCAATCGACCATGCACTAAAACTCTTTGTTAAACTAAAGGCAGTCTACCATCAAGTTTGTCTGGGCCTGACGCTTTTCTAGCTTTTATTCTAAATTCTTCCAGTTCAGTCATAGGCACATTCTGAGCACTGTACAAAATATATTTCAGTGCTGCAGTAATTTCTGCAAATGGCTGGGCCATTAAGCTGTAAAATATAAGTAGTGAAATTCCTATACAGCAATACTTTAATGTGACTAATGCTAAAACTATGACATTGAAAGGACATTTAAATACATTATTTTTAAATGTATGCTGCTCTCTGTTTTGAAATTATACTATTTCCCTCTGTTTTGACTGCCTGTGCTATATGTCCTTAACATAAGCTGTGCTATACATGTAATATAGATACATATGTATCTGTATGTGTCTATATGTATGCACATTATTCAAAATACTGGAAAATAATTATATACTTTTTTATTAATATAGCTTGATTTGAATTGAAAATATAAGGAGGATTGCTTTACATTTGAATTCTTTGGCAAGGAAGTACATCCACAGTAATCATAAATGGATAGGTGCTTCTGAAAAAATAATAGAAAGTCTAAGAAAATCATTGCAAGTCTTAGATCAGACATTTTTCATTACTAATGCCTAAAACAATCTAATCTCATCAGTCTTATCATTTGGCCAAAAGCATATTCAAGTCTCCTTTAAAAGAAACGTATCATCCCTTGGAGAATGTAATTTGGCTTGTTTATATACTAAGCATTTTCTCAGTGTCTTCTCCAATAATATTCTGTGTTTCTGATCTTTGCATAATTTTTGACTCTCATTATGTCAATAAATTCTTTGTGTTCTTAGCCTTCCCAGTGGTCTGTTACCATTACAGGGAGAGTGATTTGGCACAAATTTGTTTACATAATAAAGATTCATGTTGTATGTTTGTATTTTTCAAATATAATGACTTTCCTGCAAATATCGTATTATACTTTAAAAATGAGCGCAGTATTTGTTTATCTTGCCTAGCTAATGATGAATATGTTCTCTAATGTTATTCTTCCTTCTCTAATGTTATTCTTCCATATGAGAAGTACAGATTTTACAAAAGTAGTAAGCAGAATGTGAGTAATTTTAAAGGATGAGGACTTTTGGTACCTGCAGTGGCAAGAGAAATTGTTCAGAACCTGGAACTAAATAAACAGCGTTTTAAAACCTTCAATGGGGAAAGAAATAATGAAACAATGTGAACATAAGGCTTCAAAACATACCTGAGATTACAAAAACAGAGTTCACACCTTTTATTGCTTATAACTTTTGAACTCAGGGGTTAAAAGGCTTTTATATAAAGGCAGAACTAACCTATATGCCAGGTGTAAAAAGTGTCAACTTTAAAATGATCTGCTGTATAATCCTATATCCAAACCCTGAATTTGTAAAATCAGTAAAAACATAGTATGTAATACTGCCTGAAAGGGTTTTTCTTGCATTGATTTTGTTCCCATTGTCTGATACTGACATGTACCCGTTCAGGACAAGTTGTCTTTCACTTTTCTATCTATTTGATCAGCTCTATCTAGACACTCCAATATAATACTTCATATATTCAAGTGATATTCCTGAATGCTGCTATGGAAAGGAATTTCCTCATTTTCAGCATTTATATAGACCACTCATAAATTTATTTGAACTGTTCATTAGAATTCCACTGAATAAGCTAACTTCCAAACACAGAATTGTATCCCTTGTCTTGACATTGTACAAACAATTTATATAGTTATAAGGACCCTAGGTTTTTTATTGTTGTAGCAGATCACTGAAGTGCAATATTATGGGGTAGTTTTCATTTTACATAAGCATAGCTTGAGGCACACCTTGAAATTAGGGAGGCTACTTATTTCAGTATTTCTGTAACACAGGGAGAATAATTGTGTATGCATCAATGTATAAAATATATTATAGACACTGTTTCTTTTATAAGATTTGTCAGCACCATGAAAGAACTATTGCAGTCCTTTTTGTGTTTGGCCAAAGAACTTCACCCCACAGTTTCTGCATCAAACCCTTAGTTTCCATCTGGAATTAGCACATCAAATAAGCTATTTGTTTTCTGGAGTGATAATTTTCTACTAAACGGTAATATATTAGTCTCAGTGGGTTTAGTATGGTCTCCTTAATAATGTAGATAGGAAAAAAAAACCCACCATCATCAAGTATTTTAGCTCTGTGTTTGAAAAACCAAGGAATAAGAAATCTGTGACTTGCTTTTTTGCCCATTCAGAGGATGCTTACCAGAAAAAGCTGTTAGGTTTTTTAATTGAATGAAGAGTGAAATATAGCTCAAAGGAGAAAAAATTTCTTCATACTACAAGTCTAAACCATTGTGTGCTGCACCTTTGATTATCTTCATTAAGATGTTATGTCCTAGAATTTGAAAACATGAGAATTTTTGAATTAATTCACACTCACGTTCTGTATATGAAAAAAAATCTAATTTAAATATAATTGCAACATAGAATCCTACAAAATATGCCTTTCAAGTATATTTTGAATCTGTTTTATATGGTAAAACATTTTAAAGCTCAGACTTTTCTGTTTCTTACCTAAGGGAATATCTAATAGGAAAAAAGAAAAAAAAGGCAAAAACTTTTGGCATGTCAAATCATATGTATACAGAAAATCATTTTCAAAATGGTAATGTTTGTAAAAAAACTATAACCAACCCTCTGATTTTTGTATTACATAAGCAATGTTATTTTTCAAGTTATGGTATTTAGAATGTTATGCAATACACTGTAATTTTGTAAATTTTTTTAGCTCTAACTTGAACTCTGCAGAATCAGTGCCTGAACTCTGTTGCATCTTCAAGCGATGTTTTGTAGCATCAGTGTTGAATAATCAGTAATTGTGGGAAATACCTTGTATATGTCCAAAGTGCAATAAAAGGTTAAATGTGTAGCTTCCTTGTTTTTATTCTGTTGATTTCTGGACTTTAGCTCTAGAAGTGTTATCACTAGTTTCTATAGTTTCATTTGTGTACTTGTAGATTTACACAAAGGTGTATATGGTGTGTTTATCCGTGGTATCCAAAGGTGAGCTGGGGCAAGGCGGCTCATTCCCGGTGGGATTGCTGTAGGGGCATGAAGGCACACGGAAGGAAACTTGTAGCTATATTCCATTACGGTAACTCACTAAAACTACAAGACTTTATTTCCAGCTAGATCCTTGGTTTTGAAATATCAGTCCTACCATTTAGTCATGAGGTGGTCGTATCAAAACTGTTTCAGTTATTTCTTCTTGCAACTTCAGTCGGAGAGCAGAACCTACCAGCTACTCAGCAGAGCAGCGGTGCCCAGGGCCGTCCCCGGCCCTGCGCTCAGCCGGGCGCCGCACGGGCCTGTGTTTGCCGCCGTCAGCGGCCGCTCCTGCCAGGCCCGCCCCCGGCCCGGGGCTCGCCACGTGTCGCGGCGGCTGCGCAGGCGGCGGCGGGGCGGGGCGGCGCGGCCGGGCCGGCGGCGCGGGAAGATGGCGGCCGGGATCCGAGAGAAGCAGACAGGTGAGCGCCCGCCCGCGGTCCCGGCGCTCGGGCGGGGGAGCGGGGCCGGCCGCACGCCGCCGCCGCCGCGCTGCCTCGGTCCCCGCGGGGCGGGCTGCGGGCGCCGCCGCGGATTCGCGCCCTCTCACCCGGCTTGGGTCTCCCGGCAACGGGGTGGCGGCCCCTCTGCCGCCTTCTCCTCGCCTCCGGGGCGGCGGGCCTCCGGAGCCTCGGGCCGCAGGTCTCGCAGATGAACCCCGGCCACGCTTGGGCCCCAGGCCCCGGGGACGTGGCCGTCGGTGCCGCCGAGGTGTGGAAGGCGCTCCTGGGGCGGGACTTGGCCGGGCCCGGGCCGTCAGCGGTGCCTTCTCCCGCGGCCGTGGGAGCGAGCGCACCCTCCGTTTCGGTTTCTTTCTGCCCGTGGGAAAGACCGACGGGAAATAGCGTTTAATGGTGCAGAAATAAAGTTACTGTTGTCATGTTCTTGTTAAGACAATACGGGGGCATCCATGTCTGTACTGACCCTCGAGAAGTTGGGAATACGATAATAACAACTAAACTCGTTGTGCATGAGGATTTCTGTGAGTAAAGGGTTTGTTAGTTCAGTCCCTTCTTAGACATTGCTGGGAGTCCTTAATTGATTCTTCTCTGCCTTGATGCTGCTTTGTAAAGCCTTGGACATACTCCTAGAGCACAGGGGATGTCAGCTCCTTAGTCCTCTACTTCCCTTGTTTGCCAAAGTTGTAGTCAGTAGTTAAGCTGTAATCATGACACTCTCTCCTTGACAGCTGCAGTATCTTTGGTGGTATAGAGGATTCTGGATGCATTTGGTTAGCATGAAATATTTCAAATCATCTGCCTAAAAATCTCAGTCACAGTCTCTGTGGACATTAAATATTTTACTAGTATGCTTAATTTTTTGTACCAGTCTACTTTTTTGTAATCTCATTCCTCTGCCATCTATCATTGATAGTGCTATTTGATGTTCTTCTGAAGTCTTTGCTTATCTTCTCTTTGCTATCTTTCTAATAAAGTCTATTTTCTTTGAGCACGTATTCTGTTCAGCTTTATTCTTTTCTGTTCTGTTTCACTGTGTTCATAGGGTGGTCTGGGTTGAAAGGGACCTTGAAGATCATCTCATTCTAACTCCTTGTCTGCTATGGCCAGGAACACCTTTCACTAGATTACTTAAAGCCCCATCCAGGCTGGCCTTGAACAGTTCCAGATATGGAGTATCCATAGCCTCTGTACAAGCAATTCCAGAGCCTCATGACCCTCATAGGGAAGAATTTTCACTTTATATCTCATCTAAACCTACTGTCTCCATTTAAGGCCATTCCCCCTTGTCCTGTCACTACATGCTGTTGTGAAAGGTCCCTCTCCAGGATTCTTCTAACTCCATTTAGGTACTGGAAGGCACTATAAGTTCTCCCTGGAGCCTTCTCTTCTCCAGGCTGAGCAAACCCAACTCTCTGAGCCTTTCCTCATAGGAGAGGTACTCCAGCCCTCTGATCATCTTGTTATTCCTCCCTGGACTTAATCCAACAGGTTTGAGTTCTTCTTATGATGGGCCCGGCTGTGGGCACGGTACTCCAGGTGGGATCTCAGCAGAGGAAAACAGAGGGGCAGAATCCTCTCTCTCACCCTGCTGGCCACGCTGCTTTGGATGCAGCCCAGAGTACAGTTGGCTTTCTGGGCTGCAGGTGCACATTGCCAGGTCATGTCAGGTTTCTTATGCACCAACACCCCCAAGTCCTCTTCAAGGTTGCTCTAAATCCATTCTCTGCCCTGCCTGTATTTGTGCTGCAGGAGCTTGCATTTAGCCTTGCTGAACTTCCTGAAGTTTGCACGGGCTCACCTCTCGAGCCTGTCAAGGTGCCTCTGTATGGCCTCCCTTCTCTCCATCTTTTTGAGGAGGAATTTCTTCATGGAAAGGGTTAAACATTGGAATGAGCTGCCCATGGAGGTGGTAGTGCCACCATCCCTGGAGGTGTTCAGCTGGATATGGCACTTGGTGCTATGGTCTGGTTGACAAGGTGGTGATCAGTCAAGGGTTGGACTCTCTGATCCTGGAGGTCTTTTCCAGCCTGAATGATTCTGTGATTTTGTGACCGTACACAGCTTGATGTCATTGGCAAACTTGCTGCAGCTGCACTCAGTCCCACTGTTCATGCCACCAATTGTTGCTGGATTATTTCAGTCAGCCTTTACAACTGAATCCATGATGTCTTCTGTTAAGGAGGTCTTTTCCAAGGAGCTAGATTCAACAGCTAAAATGTACTCAGAAAAATGTTTCTTATCATTTAGTCATGGTCTTACCATGTATGTGCACCATCTGTTGTGACCTTTATCCTGGTTCATAACCAGGATTGGTTTCATAACAGAAGCATATCATTGTGCAAGCACAGTAAAAACCTGATCCTTGCCCCAGAGAACATTCACCATTAATGTAAATGAAATAAAATATGAATACGGAAAAGGAACTCGGGCACTTGCTGAATGTTGACATGATTTTCACAGCACGTTACCAGTTTGATTACTCTTTCTTGGCAGAGAGCTTATGCCAAGTTTTACTTTAGATGTTAAACTCTGCAATGCAGCTGCTTCAGTTCCAGTAGTACCAAAGCACATAACCATACAGCTTTATATAAAATTGCTCATATGGCTAAAGATGTCACCAGCAGTGAGGGGCCAGAGAACCCAGGAGCATCCTGTAATCAATTTTCAGAGCTGCTTCATTGTGTTTAAAAAAGAAAAGAAAAAAGTATGGAGCAAGTTGAAGGCTGGAGCCCATCAAGTCTCAGCGCTCAATGCTAGCTTGGATTTTCCCACACTTGTGTTTCATTTCTAGTAGAGTTGTTTGAAAGTGCCACGCACAGGAGGAAGCAGAGCGTCAGAAACACTGTCTGGCCTTGGAGAGATGATACTGGGAAAGCCAAAGTTCTACTGAGGTTGAGCTGTGCAGCATGTATCTCGAGAAAGGAGAAGTGCTTGTGCTGCAACATTAGTAGCAAAAATGTAATTAAGAAAAGAGGTTGGATCCTTGCTAAATGGAGCTGCTCATTTAATGGTGATAGACACAGATAGGGCTGAGGTAACCAGGGCTGCCTTTGCTTCAGTCTTCACCTACAAATGCTTCCAGGCCTTAGTGGCACTTTGGAGTCAATCACTGAGTGAATCATATTGGAAAATACTTCTCTTCACATGAGGGAAAATGCATGCATGAATTTATGTATGGTAAATCATACCTGACTGGCCTAATTGCCTTCAGTGATAAAATGACTGGGTTTGTAAGCAACAGGACAGGAGTATTTAATTTACCTTGACTTACCTTTTGACACCATGGTGTTAATATCCAAGTTAGAATGTCATGGACTAGATGGATGAACAACTAACTACATTAAAAAAACTGGTTGGATGGTCAGGCTCAGAGGGTTTGTAATTAATCAGACATAATTACCTAGAGGCTGGTAACAACTAGAGCACTGCATGAGTGTATTCTGTGACCCCTCCTGTTTAAAATGTCTATCAGTCACCTGGAGGGCATGTCAGTGTACTCTGATTAAAAGTGTGCAGGTGACAGCAAACTTGGGGAATCTCTTCTGCTTGAGGGCTGAGCTGCCGTTTGGAGGCACCTAGATGGGCAAGAGGAATGGGCCAGCAGAGATCTTATGAAATTTAACGATGACAAATTCCTGCCCTTCTAAAGGAAGAGCCCCTTGCACATACAGGCAACAGTGTGGGGGGTTGCCAGACTGGAGAGCAGCTCTGCAGAAAAGAGCTGCAGGGGGTTCCCAGTGGACCATCAGCTGGAGGGAGTCAGCAGGGTGGTCAGAGGCTCTGGTGAGGCTCTAGCACTAAGGCTTCTCCAGGTGGCTTCAGGGTGGACCTTACAGCAGCTCCCCAATCCCTATGGGCGCACTGGGAAGGAACCAGGCCCCTTTGTAGTGGTGTATGGCAGTAGGGTGAAGCACAACAGGCATAAATTGTGTAACATAAACAAGATGTTCAAACTGGATGTAAGGAAAAGCTTTTTCTCCACAAGGACAGTCAGTGCCACAGGTTGCACAATGTGGTTGTGGCATCTTCATCCGTGGAGAGCTGACTGCATAAAGCTCTGAGCAGCCTGGCCCAGCCTCAGAGCTGAGCCTCCTTAGGCAGGAGGTTGGACTGGAGGTCTTCCAAGGTCCTCTCCAGCCTGACATGTCTTATGATGCTGTAGATCCCAGGAACTGCACTATGTTCATTCAGCCAGAGTCAGAAGTCAATTCTTTCTACTACTCTCTATTTATGAGCTGAGTGGTATCCATCACTCTTAATTTCTGCAAGTTTTTCCTCTTTGCAAAACTCTGTGATGATTTTGTTAGGAGTTTTAAGAGAATCAGCACTATAGCACGAATAGTCTTTTGCTGCTGGTCAAAGATGGGAGAGCAGCACATACTGTGTTGTTTAATCAGATAAATGAGGAAAGATACATTACATAATAGATTTATATAAATTAGAGGTAGGTAGAACAATCTCCTTTGGTTTGTATGTGGAATGGAAAGTTAAAGTTCATTCGTCTTTCAGAGTTTTCCTGCTACAAACTAAGACTATTTTTGTATCTTAAACCAGCAGTTTCTTCATATGAGTTCTCAAAATCTTTCAAACTGTGTATTGATTTTAGTCAGGCATAAAGGTATTTTTTGTGTGGTGTGTACAGTGGTGTTCCTGTGGGGTAGGAAAAGCAGATCAGGGAATGAAGCAAACTAGTTCCCACTGGACAGAAAACACCTTCAAGAAGATCCTGGAATTAGTTTTAAGGCAAACCTTGTTAGAATATAGCCTGTATAACTAAGGAGAATAAATGTTTTAGAACTTGCTTCTTTGCCTTTTGCTTTGTCCTCTGGAGTCCATAAATTCTAGCAGATGTGAGCCACTTGTCAGTCAAAGCTGCATAAAAATAATGAAAATGTGACTTGTTGTATTTATATTTTGCAATGGTTTTCCTTTCAAATGGTTTTCCTTTCAAATGTATAATAAAATCCTGCTAAAGTCTTTAAGTCACTGTTTTTGAAGTGTAGAGAGAGTAAAGCATTCTTTGGCTTTATTTTCCAGTGGCTTTGAAACGTATGCTGAACTTCAATGTTCCTCCAGTTAAAAACAGCACAGGAGAACCAGTATGGAAGGTAAGAACTTTTGGAACTGGATCATGAGAATTCTGTGGTGTTCAGAGAAGTTCAGATTTGCAGATTTTAATTTAATCAAGTTCATCTTTCTTGTTATTAACTTGTACAAAATATTTTTTCCTGTGTTGTAAGTACACAGAATTGAGTATGAGAACTGCTGAAAAAATACCAGAGGCAGAAAGAAGCCCATACAAATGGAAGAATTATTGATAGCTTAAAGAATCTGAGCTCAGGATAGCTTTGTTACCTTTAAAATGTAACTTGTAGGTCATGAGGAGTTTTTGCTACTACAAAGCCTATATTTTGTCTCTTCATCCCTTGTCTTTTTTCACTAATTCCTATTTTCTCTTCTGATTTTCCTCTTGTTTTCTCCCAAATGCAGTCAGGAAAACTCTGCACATAAAATAACAAACTTCAAACAGCAAACTCTTGTTTGACAAAGCACTTTTAAGGAGGTGGAAGTGATAGTTCTTTTTCCCCCTTTATCACTGAGTTTCCCTTGGTTTTTCTTTCATATTTTATTTATTTGTAAGCACAAATGGAAGTCCATGACAAATTAATGATTTATTGTAAAGTGGTAGATGTTTAGATGTTGAAGCACTTTTGAAGTTAGGGTAGTAGTTCCCTAAACCTGGGTTCCTGTATCCACTGTATTCTACAGTATCCACTTTTTACATCACTTTATAAGATTATGTGTATCTGTTTCAGGTTCTCATTTATGACAGATTTGGCCAAGATATCATCTCACCTTTGCTGTCAGTGAAAGAGCTGAGGGATATGGGGATCACTTTGCATCTGTAAGTTCTTTTAAAAAATTGGGAATTCTTTTGTAAAAAGAGCATTATTTAATATTCCCCAAAATAATTAACAAATCAGTGAAAAATCATTGAGTAAATAACTGCTAGAATAAAAATTATAAACTTACTAGATTTGTTCCTAAAATCAGATGCCATTATGCAAAATCAAGAAATGGAGAGATCGTTGCAAACAATGTTCACTAGGATTTCTTGCTCAAAACAGGAGGCCCTTGTTCAAAAATAAAAATTATCCAGTAGGTATTCTTTTGGTATTTGTCTCTACAAATCCTTTTGCAATCATATATGTTACAATTGTATTGGCACAAACTGTTTCATGAGACTGTGTATGTTCTTTGCTTGTCTTTTTACACATAGATTTTACTTGTCTGCTGTCAAACATATGAAATCTTTAGGTATTATTTTAAGAGATTTATCATGTATTTTTCCCAGATTACATTTACCTTGTCCATTTTCATTCCTAGCATTCATGAAGAAACTTTGAACATAACTTGTATTTTTTTCCAAGTTTATTAACTTTTGCTAAGTGAAGGCTAGAAATGGAAACAGTTTAACCTGCTTACAGATCAGCAGAAACATGAGAAAAACATGTAAACACCTTGTCTTCAAGCAGGAAAGGCAAATTTAATAGAATTAAATATAGTGGTTTTTTACCACAGCAGCAGTTCACATGTGAACTTCATAGGTGCAGTAATTTAGCTTCCTCTGAATAGATAATATGTTTTTGAACATTTGTAAAGCCTTTTCTCAAGCTTTGAATAAATTTTGGACATATCTATTAATATTTTCAGCCAAAAAATACACAAATGTGATTTCTTTTCTTGCTAAAACTCTAGTTAAATATAGAAGGAAATTGTAGGAAATGTCATTTGTCTGTACAAATAAATAATTTCTTTAACTTTTTTAATTTTATACATATCAGAGAAAAAACACATTGGACATGTCTTTTTTCTTCCTATCAGGCTTTTACATTCAGATCGGGATGCTATTCCTGATGTTCCAGCTGTTTACTTTGTAATGCCAACAGAAGAAAATATTGACAGAATGTGCCAGGTAACTTGCATCTGTAATATTTCAAAAGAGCCTACACAACAAAGTGTGTGAAGTAATCCTGCACTCACCAGAATGTGACTGTAACTACTAGCACAGATTTGTCAGAAAAGTATTACCCAAAATCTTGTAATGCAAAACTTCAATTTCCCAGCAAGTTGAAAGGTAAACATGTCTCGTGTTTCAGAGGGACTTAGGGGAGTGAAAAGACAAAAGGCAGTGGGTACAAATATTCCATTTAACAATAGAAAAAGCTTTTTTAATGAGGTTGGCCAAACACTGGAACAGATTGCCTGCAGAGTTTGTGGAGTCTCCATCTTGGAAAGGTTCAAAACCTGACTGGGCACTATCATGAGCCACCTGCATCATTTGATACTGCTTTGAACGGGAAGATTGGATTAGGCTAACCTCAATTTTTCACATTTCTGGTAAGGAGATGGCTGGAAAGTTGACATCTTTGTCAAAGTAAGGAGAAGAGCAAAGGGTATTTTAGTCAGCAGTAAGGTGTGGAATAGTAATTGCTGCCCTTTAGCTTAAGTGTCATTTCCTGGTTTTTTGCAGTTCTGTGGTAGGTTGTTTATATCTGGATATGTAATCAAAACACCATGTTTTGATTCATATTCCTAAAAAGAGCTGTATGAGCAGAGAGCTAAGCACTTCTGAAGGTTTAGTTTGATTGTGGAAAACTGTAACATTACATAGTAACAGTATGATTTCTTCTTTTAATTAGTCAGGAATGTATTAGTACTTATTCAGGAAAATTTTCCTTTCTTTTAGGATCTTCGAAACCAGCTTTATGAGTCTTACTATTTAAACTTCATTTCTGCCATTTCAAGAAGTAAACTGGAAGATATTGCAAATGCTGCTATAGGTGCTAATGCAGTAACTCAAGTGGCTAAAGTAAGAAAGTCCCCCAGACCCTAATATTAGCACCATTAAAGGTATAAGACTGCATTCTCATTTTCAGGCATACTGGGGAAAAAAGAAGAACCTACAGCCATCCCAGTAATGCAGCTTAGTACCATACTTCAGCTGTCAAAAGTCAAAGTGTTGTAAGACTTTTGGGCTAAATGAAAGGAGGGGAAATACAGTGATTTCAGAGGATTCTTGATCACATCAGCTGAATGAGTGCTTTCAGTGTATATATGTTTCTGTATTATTTCCAAAATAAACAAAAAGAGCAGTAGAAGTGCAGTTCTCATTTGAAATAATACTTCATATGTACACTTTTACTGAGTACTCTCCTGTACCTTTATGATTTAAAGGCATGTGTTAGAGATTTACTTTTATTTTTGTGAATGGCTGCACTAAAACCTTTAAATTACCAAGTAATACACTTTAAATTACCAAGTAATACACTTAAATACATTCACCATTTTTCACTCCAGCTGGTACTACTGGCATGAGAGAAAGAAAACATTGTGAAATAAAATGAACAGTACTAGTAGTGTTTAAGTCTTAGGTCCTCAGCAGCAGAAAGTTAGTATAGCACTGTAAACTAACTTTCTTAAATCTGTTTTTCAGCTGTGATGTCTCATTAATAGTTTATGCTATAGAGGAGTTTCATTTTTTTCCTGAATGCACGTGGTGTTACAGAAAAGTTAAAATCCATGAGCTGTAATGTCTTATTGTTCAGATATTGCCCTCTTTCTTCTCTCCTGCCTGAGAGCTCAGTGCTGATTATGTTGTAGTCCTTTATATTCATAAAAAGTGAACCTATAATATTAAAATGTCCTCCACATGTGTTTTTTTCAGTGATACTTGGCTGCTGAAACTTTGTGCACAGAAACAGTTGAAGTTGACAGTTCTGGCACTTTACAGTTCTCTAATATTTTGGGTTAATCACTCAACCCTTACACAGGCTTTTTAATTCATAAATTATATCTTGCTTTTTTTTTTAATAGATACTTCTGTAAAATGTAGCAGTAAATCGCATACAGGTTTTTTATGCTTCACTCTGGATTATTCTGACCATTATTCCTTGCTTTCTAGGTGTTTGATCAATATCTTAATTTTATTACTTTAGAAGATGATATGTTTGTATTGTGTAACCAAAACAAAGAACTTGTTTCATACCGTGGTAAGTAGAATTTATATAAAATTATACAGGAATGTCTGAAGTTTTACTTTTGAAGTTGTAGCTAATAACCAGCAATTACCTTATTTTGCTTTGATCTGCTCAGAATTCAGGATAATCTCTTAGATATGTAAAATCATGAAAGAAGCAGTTCTTAGATATTCATTGCAGCATCTTTTTTTACATGGTAATTGTAATACTGAAAAATAAATACAAAGTGAAACTGTGGTATAGACATTTATGGATAATAACACTTTTTATGCAACAAATAACATTGGAAAAATTACATATTGTTTCCACATTGGGATAGTCACTGTGGGTGGGAAAGGGCATTCTAGACAATAAGCAATACTAATTTGCTTCTGCCAGCATGTGAGCCAGGCATGTCAGCTTCTTCATAAAGTTTCAGAGTTGCAAATGAAGTCAGCCTCCTGGAACTCTTTTTATTTTTTCTCAAAACTTCTGTTCAACTTGGTTTGGGACCTAGCAGGAAGAGCAAGTGGCTTTAGATCAGTTACTTTGGTGCTGTGGCAGCTCAAGTCAACATACATACTAGCTGTCATAATTGTCCACATGATTTTCCTTCCTCCATTGTGCTGATTTTATGTACTCCTCTAACCCATTCAGTGTGCTAAATGTTCTCTGTACATTTAGCATTTACACTCCACCACTCCTGCCCCCTACTCTGGGGGCAGATGTAACTCACAGATGATCTACTTATAGATATTAACAGGCTATGTTGTGTGGCTGCTTCTGCTGTAGTTTTACTCTTCCTTTCTTTTTACGTCAGAACCAGTAATTTCAGAGCTGCAGGGTGTGTTTAATTGACTCATTCCTTCAAAAATACCAACTCATTTGTGTGATGTACAAATGCAGTTAAAGGGAAGAAGCAGGAGTGTAGATAATCCTATTTTTGCAGCAGCTCCTCATTGCTTTAGTGTAGTTACAAAGTCACACAGCTAATTCCTGGTGCATCAAATATTCCTTAGTGACCAGATAGAGATGAGAAGTCTCTGTGTGTCTGATATTTAGCTGTGAGATTTTTCTGCTTTCTTGCCCAATATCTGAAGTCAGTACCTTTTCTTTAAAACTGGATCCATAATAACTGAGATGTGTGTCACACACTGGGTGTCTCACACTGGGGATTGATTCCACTGGCAGAATGAAGGGCATTTTTGTTTGAAAAGCAGATGTAATTTTTTTCACTAAAACCTGATGTTGAAAGTTTTAATACTAATTATTTTGTGATGTGTTCCTGTGTATATAATTAATTGACTGTCATAAGATTCCTTATGCTAACAAGGAATTTGAATTAAGATGACTGAAAATGTTTTACACCCATCAGTTTCTATCTGGTTTGTTTTCCTGTCTTGGGCTGCTGAAATTTGCCAGCATGTTTAAACCAATGTAGAAGTGGGCTGTTTCCAAAAGCTCAGGAACAGAAATCTGATCCCCCACAGAGAGTGATGAGTTTTCCATTAGAGCTTGGTAGCTGATCTGTCTCATTGTGTGTGTTCTAGATCTGACACAGACAGGCAGTAGGAGTGCAGAGGTGAGGAAGAGGTGGGCGTTTTTGCCTGGGGAGAGTATCCCTAGCAGGGGACTGCCAGTTTATAATCTGCAAAAGTCAGTGTAATCTGAGGGTACTTAAAGATGGCTGCTGTTCTTGCAGCAGCGCTTCTGTGTGTGACCACAGAGGTATCTGGATGGGTGAGCTAAAATCAAATATCACAAAACAGGTTAATTTTCAGTTTCCTGATTCCTTGGCTGTGTGGCTGCTTTTACAAAGAGGTAATGTCAGGACAAATAAGCAATATAAAATCCTTCAATTATGTGAAAGACTTTCCTACACAAAAGGGACACAATGCATTCTTTCTGTTTAGTAATGAACAGGAAGTGATGAATTTAAATGCAACAAGAATGTTTCTGATCAGATGTTGGGAGCACTTTCTAACTTTAAAAATAATGAAATATTAGATTACCTGTAAATATGGTATTTTTGTGACTGGGAAGCTCTTTGAATAGGTTTAGATGCAGAAATTACATGGGTTTAACTCATCTTTGAAAAGGAGGACCAGCTAGTTAATCCCTCAGGCTCCCTCTGATTCTGTTTTCCTACAACAGTGTGTTAGGAAGAGTAAATGAGTAGTAGTGGTATAAAGTTGGTATTTGAGATGTCCTGTTTCATGCTATTTGAGTGCTTCTTTACCATTCTTTACAATTTGGTTGAATTTTGTAATACAACAGGAAAATGTAGGACACCTATGCTTACTTTTCTGTAATAGATGCGTTCTCCATAAGCTAGTTAGAGTGGAGAGAGAAAACCTTACAGAAAACATGGCAGAACATTTTACCAAAAGATTCTTAATGAAGTTTCTCAAGGGTTGATCTAATATAATTAAGTATCTGTGTTGGTTGCTATGGTACAAGAAAAGGAATGTGCTGATAAAAAGTTCATGGTAGACAAAATTAGAAGGCACTGACAGTGTGCAGATTACTGAACACCAGAAATGAGTACTTTAAACATATTAACAGGATGGGAAATAAATTTTAAAATTGGAAAAGTTAAGAGAGTAAAAATGAGGTTTTTTTCCTCCCTCTAAAGTGGGAGACCATTAGTTGGAGATAACTGCAGAATGATAGCCCCAGTCAATTTCTTCAAAGCTTTGTCATTATAGAAAAATACAGATATTGGGAATGGTCTGCTTTTCTTGGTGCTGACATATCAGAAACTTGAAACTTCTATTGCTGGTGTCAGCCTAGTCAGAACCTTATCTTACTAAGGGTAGTTGCTAAAATATAATCCATGTCTCTAAAGTTCTTACAGGAGAAAAGCTGGGGGGAAAAAGCATCTTTAAAGTTATAGAATGGTTGTGGCTGTCCATGCATAAATTTAGGATGGAAGGCTTATTAATATTTAGAGCTTTGAAATTCAGTTTTGAAGAAAGAGGATAAGACAGGTAATTATATGAGAAATTTTTAAAGGTAATGTAAAACAAACAAGGATAGGATTTATGGCATGAATCCTAGCTAGTGCTTGACTTGAGATCTGTGATAAGATTTGGTTTGATGTTTCCTGTTGGCTATTTTATTCTTGTCAGGGTTAGTTACTTAAGAGAAATGTTGCTGCAATTTCTTCTGTTTGACCTAAATGTGGGAAGGAAATCTCTCTTATCTGTCAAGTACAATGTTTTATAACTTGGGAATTACCCCTAATTTAGAGACTGATGATGAATTTAGGAGAAAAAAAAGGAATCCCCATACAAGAGGTGGGATTTAGAAATTTTAAATATAGATAACTGCATTCTATAATTATTTTATACAGGTAGTTCTTGGGGATTTTCTTCCTGAAAGTGTTAGCCAAGTGGATGGCCATTTCTCTTGTGTACCATTTCTTAGTAGATTTTTGTTTATGCAATAATAACAATCCAAAAGATATGTGTGCAGTGAGAGAGACTCAGAAATTATTGTATACTGTTTGACCTTCTACAGTAACCAATAATTTTGCCATTTTTTTCTCAGAAAAAAAAGGGAGTGGAAACTAACAGGTGTGGTGAGAGGGGCATTTCAGGATGTAATCTCTTCTGCAACAAAAGCTGTTGACTACTAACAGCCATCAGATAAGAAGATGATTGCCCTCTCACTATTAAAATGGCATAAACTTATTTAACTCTGTTCTCTTTTCCACACTCTTTTAGCCATTAACCGACCAGATATAACAGACACAGAAATGGAAACTATAATGGACACTATTGTTGATAGTCTCTTCTGTTTTTTTGTTACACTTGGTAAGTTTCCAAATTCTAGCATATTTTCCCTATTCAGTGAGATAATTAGAAGTCTAGTGATTTCATATAGAAAATTAAAAGCAGAATTAGATCTATGAACAAAATCTCAATAATTCACAGGGTGGGATAATGATCTTGCTCAAATATCACTGCTTTCTATCACTCAAATATCTTGCTTTATGTCACTGCAAAGTACAATAAAGGTTGGCCTTCATGGGAGTTGAGTCTTAGTCTTCAGTACCAATGGGAGGAGAATACTGAAATGCAAAGGTTTGGATGCTAGGTTCTAACAGAATTCTAGTTTGCAATGAAGATAATAATGTTTTGAGTTTGGATTTGTCATTCTCCAAGAAAAAAACAATCCCCTAAACACCACAGAGTTAGAAGAAAAAAATTCCTCACACAAACCCTGCAAAGATCTAACTGACATAACTTCCTAAAGGAATAGGAAGATAAATTTACTTTTTTTATTGTGAGTTTCCTTGACGCTTAGCTGATACATTTTTCATAGTGATGACATTTAACTTAAGTTGTAACTGAAATTGGTCCATCTGAGATAGCTTTCCTACAAGGGGAGCTGGGGATTGCCATGGGGCAGTCTCTTCAAGAGAGATTCCCCTGGACCTATTCAGATCTTTCAAGTGTTAGTGTGATACAAATTAATGTCTTTTCCTCAGTCACTTAAAATCTGTGGGTTTGGAATTTTCATATTTGTATAGATAAGTGAGACACTGTAGCTAAATGTTTTGAAACCTGAAAGCCAATGGAAAATGTGCTTTTGAAAATAGCATTACCATAGATAGATAGTCCTGAACATAGCAGTGAGTAGTAATGGATACATTGTGGTGGTATAATACTTATTATTGTGTTCAAGGGACTTCTAATCTTTTGAAAATAACTTCTAATGCATCTGCATGAGATAGTTTGTCCCCTCCAACAGTGGATGAGCTTTTTTTCTAATATAGACTCTATTTCTCGTAAATTGTTATATGGGGTATTCACTTCTGTAAAACTTTATTTAATATTTCTGTATAGTATTTTTCATTTCATAGATAAAGACTGCAAGAGAAAAGTTTAATGTAAGTTTGTATTTAATCTCAGAATGTTAGTTGAAGTTGTTTATAAAAAGTAATGTAATACAGAATCTGAAAATGGCAATGCATGTAGAAGTCAATGTATCTTTTATTAGGCGCTATACCTATAATCAGATGCTCAAGAGGAACTGCAGCTGAAATGGTGGCAGTGGTAAGAACTGTTTTTCTAAACACCTATCATTGCTTTACAACTTTCCAAACATCACTTTCACTTTTCTCAGTACTAGACAGAGATCTAGTGTCACTGTATCCTTCTCCTTATGAAAGAAAAAAACTGGAAAAGAGATACATTCACTTTCCTTTCTGATTTCAGTTCCACAGAACTTCTGTAGAAACTGTAATGTTAGGGAATCAGATAATGGGAAACTTAAATATAAATAATTATTACTAATCTAGAGTTTATCAAGATTTTCTAATATGCGTTATAATTAAGCTGTATCTACAACTTAAAAAGTGGCTGTTGGACCTGTGTTCCTCTGTGTGTATCAGTAAGAAATGTTGATCTGTCTTACTGGGAAACCCTGCAAGTACAAGACATTTTTAGTATAGCAAATTAAACTGACATTGAACTTGATCATCAAATAGGAATGGAATGACCAAACTAAATCACAATTAACAACCTCTACAGAACTGTCTTCATTAGGAGTCACTGGGGTTAATTTCTTCCATCTTCTTCGCATTTTCTTTGTCAGTGAAAGGGTAATACTGATTAAAGCATTGAGCGTGCATGCACTCATATTGAGGATAATCTCACTTTTATGAAACAATTGTATGGTAGTGTCTGCCAGCCCAGTTTGCTTCTTCTACTGTGGTTCCCTCTTGATGCTTCCTACTGGTATTTTTTACTTGCATGTTTAGGGAATGGGTGCTAATTGGAATGAGATTAGTAGACATAAAGGAAACATCTTCAGTGTAGTCCTGGACATAGATAGAAATGCTGGAGGGACAAAATTGATGTAAGATTTCTTTATTTCCCATGTACACTGGACCTAGTCTTCCTGCATTTAAGACATTTATAAGCTACAAAAACAGCACAATACATCTTTTAATGTCGATCATGTAAAGAGGTTAGGAAACCATTGGTTTGTTAAAAGTGGCTTTGTTTTTTCCATCCTCAGAAACTGGATAAGAAGCTCAGAGAGAATCTAAGAGATGCCAGAAACAGTCTTTTTACAGGTGATACACTTGGAGCTGGCCAATTCAGGTATTGTGTTAGTCATTTTATTTTTCATATTTCAGTTGTCTGGGTAAATCACCACTGTACTGAAAACTGTAATTACAAGAATTTAGTTCAAATTCTATATTAATAGAATTTACATACTTCAAGGGAGTTTTCCAATCCCACAGCATAACCCATTTAAAAACTTCTAAAACTATTAAGAATATGGCCCTAGCACAGTAAGTCAGTTATGTTATGAAACAGTTAATTTTGTTCAGCCTCTAAACCCAGCAGGAGCCAAACTTCTGTAAATACACTCTGTTTACAGGGCTATGAAATGCAGTTGGATGTCTGAACATAGCTCTGAAGTCCTCAAAAAGAGAGACAGACCCATCTTCTTGCTTGTGAACACTACTACCAGTTTAGTTATATCAAAAGCAAGTGTTTCCCAGCTGATCCCTGTCTTGATCAGAGAACACTGCTTGAGGACTACCACCTGGATAATTAAGGTCTGTTAAGCCATGACCATTTGAGTCCTTTGTGGATGCTTGTAAGCATCTGATAATGTGTTCTCAGTAGCATCCCTGTACACTGTTGCCTCCAGACAGGTGAAAACTCCACAGGTTGCCTTAGGAAGGTGTGTTATGAGAGCCTCTACTGTTCATGAAAAGGAGGAGAGGTATTGGCAAGACCATAGCTGAAGGAAACTTACAGTCTGCTAACTGAGTATAAAACAGTCATCATACTTTTATCTCAAATTAAAATCAAGGCTTGGATAAAAGGCACAAAAACATCAACATTGGCAAAAGGAATGAGCTTGAAAGGAGAGAGAATAGTTGTGAAATACCAGTTTCTTAATTTTCATGGGAACTGCATTGTAAGCACTGCTTTTCCTTCAGAGGCATGGCTTTTGTTCCTGATAGTGTAGCATCATTGCCCTCAAAATTAAAATGCAAGGTAAAGCAAACACAGGAAACTTTAACCAGTTGAATGGCTTCAGATCTTTACTTTAGTTTTTCAGAATCAGCTAAGGCTTTTGAGATTATACATTTAAGTGAATATACTTACTGCAAGGAAATCCAGAGCATGGAATTTAAATGCTTTTTCTCTGTTCAGATGCACTTCAACTGCATGTTGTAGGTATTATGTGCTTAAGAGAAATGCTTATTATAATGTTCTGTCAGCTCACAGTCTTCCTGTCTTCACTATAAGCTTTTCATGTAGCCATAGCCCAAGACCTTTAGGCATGACTGCATTTTTTACAATTTTTACAAAATTGGGTATTGATGGAATTACCACAGTGCAGCTGAGAAGTTCATTATTTATTTTTGTATGGACTTTATATACAAGCAAAGAGCAAAATGAAATTAGAAACCCTTGGAAGTGAGATTCTATATTTGAGGATCATAATGGGGATTAAGGTCAAATAGTACCCACTGAAACAGTTTTTTGGAGCTCAAACATATATCCACACAAAGATGTGTTAGTTAATACCTAAAAAGTCAGTGTTTCAACTTCTGCTCAATATTTTTATATTGGTAATTTCACTAAGTATAAAATAATCTCTTTATCATTACTAAGATTTGATTAATGGAATTTATCATAGTGATCAGCCCCAGTTATTTTTGGGAAGGCTGGAGGAGCTCAGCAGTAGGCAGTTTTGCTTTTATCTTGACATAGATATGTAAGTGGCTGATATCACTCAGGATGTTAGTGGGGTGCTTTAACCATGTTTAAAGAAGTACTAACACAGTGTCATCTTTTCAGCTTCCAAAGGCCCTTATTAGTCCTTGTTGACAGAAACATAGATTTAGCAACTCCTCTACATCATACTTGGACATACCAAGCTTTAGTGCATGATGTTCTGGTAAGGATAAATCTGATTTTGTTACCAAAACTATTTTTTCGCTCAGTTTGTTGTTAAAACTTATTATCAGATTCTCTCTTAATCCAAAATCTGTTTTGTCTGTTTTATTGTTTTAATAAAGAACAACTTGGAAGATTTTCTCTGGAAGGTTTATTTAGCAATAATTTCTCAAATATTTTAAAAGTTGAAATCTTGGTATCATCAGAAGATCGCTAATTCAGCAATCCCAGCTTTTTTTTCAGTAGCTCATGATCTGTAGGTTATGTGATATCCAGACTCCATTAAGTGCAATTCAGTTTTGAAAAAGAAATGCTTTTTATGTGTTTTTAAACCAGTTTTGGTTTTAGCTTGAACTTCTAAAAATACTTTTTCCTGTTTTTCTCCACAAGGTGGTGTAGGTGTTCAGTGCAGAGTGGTGTACAGTCCTACTGAAAGGAATCTAAAACAGATTTTTTAAAATTTTTTTTAATTTAGATAACCTTAAGCTGCCTTTATTTCCTCAAGTTTATTTTATAAAACCAGTAGTAGAAATGTACTTGAATGATAGCTCATTCTGTTTACCTGAGATTTGTGCATTTTGTGTATAGGTGTGGAGTAAATAATTTTAAAAAAAAGAGTAAGAGTAATTAGTATCTGAAGCTTTTTTATGTGCTGACAGTTACTGTGAAAATAATTTCAATATCTGTCTTTCAGAATTATTTTAGATTTATTATTGAGACTGTTACAGGCATACATGAAATATGCACATATTTGTTGATATACAAAGTTGATGGTGAACTGTATAGTCATCCATAGTGTCCAGAAACTTGTGTTGCTATGATGAAAATATTTCAGCACTAATATAATGTTTTAGGGCACTTGTAAATTTTCTTTTATGTTATTAATTCATTATCACAAATCCTGTCCTATTAAAATTAAGAGTGCTTTCTGCAAATAACAATTTTGCCCTAGTTTCTTTAGGAAAGGGGTATCTGAAAAAACCACAGTTTGCACCAGGTTTTCTCCAGTAAGTGTTGAACTGGCTAGAGACTTGCAGATAGAAGTAGTGAATTTCTACAAGTTTCTTTTTAAATTAGTGTTGGGTGCTCTCAAGCATGAGTTGGGATAGGACTTGAGTTCATCAAGATGCAGTGATCAAAGATGTACTGGAAGCTGAGGACAGCTACTGCTACAAATCTGGTGGGGTATTGGAGTAACCCTGGAAGACTTACTCAGTGATATTGGATCTCTACTGCATCAGTAGAGTTCTGTAGTTTCTCTGGACTAACCTGTTAAATGTTGTATCTTAAAAGTGCACAGATTAGGGATTTTTTTCTTGAAATTGTAACCAAGGGGTCTGTGGTTCCATGACAAGGGCAAAAGTTTTATTTCAAAACTAGTCAAGTTACCTTGAAGGCAAGCTTGCCAAACTCTTCCCATACTGAGCATAATATTCCATGAAATAACTGCAGTAGTCTTCTAAGATGCCATAAATTGTAACCATGAAATTGTTACCAAGATGTTGATTATGTAAACTGTGCTTTCAAACAGAGTGGGTTTTGTTTAAGGTCTCAGTTACAATAGTCCAGGAATGCTGTGCAGTGTTGAACTACCCAGGCACGAAGTTGAGTGCTGCATCCATTGAGATCATAACCATCCTGTTTCTACACAGAAACATGCTTACATGAAGGGATTTATATTTATGAATAAAAATCCTTTCATCAATGGATACAGAAAAATAGTTAGAGGCATGGAGGCATGGTTAGAAAGCCTTATAAGGGCAAAATTGGGGGTTGAAAAGAAGAACACTAATCAATAAGAATTATTTTAGGAAAACTTGTAAATGCCAAAACTAACTTGAAAACGCAGGTCACTGATGAGTTAAAATGATCCAAAATATATATCTCCATTAAAAATTGTAGCTAAATATAATTTGGCTATAATTGTAAAATTATAAAATTAATGTTTTTCTCTTCAAGTTTTTATCAAATATGTGTCCTTGAAATGTACTATTTTTTGCTGAAACATAAAACACCTCTTGTAAGATGAGGTTTGTGCTCATCAACTCTATGTGTTTCCTTTGAGTAGCTACTTGGTTCTGTTTCTATTCTGGGATGGATCATTTGAAGTATTTTAAGTCCCTGCCAGGGTTTAACTAGAAACATTTTAAAACTTTATTTGACAGTTTCACTCACAGTGATCCATTTCTGTATACTTTAAAATGAAACTAATAAAGTGATGTTTTATTTCTGGAAAAAATACCTATTCTAAAAGGTTCATAACAGATTCTGTGTAGTTGAAGATTTCACTCTATCATTATTTCTCAAGTAAAGAGCACCTTTGAAGTTTTAAGTGTCCTTGAAAAGAGCTAGGACAAAGTCAGCAAGTGGAATACTTGTTAATACTCTTTGTTGAAAACCAGAGAGAATAGGTAAGCTTCAGGGCAGTCTTTGGCAGTGGGGCAAAGAACCAGAAGACCCACAGGGAGCAGTTGGTGATGTGAGCAGAATTGTGTCCTCTAGCCAAGCAGTGTAGTTACTATGTTCATGCATCTCTGAAAGAAGAAAAACTATATGGAAAAATAGCAGCTTTGTTGCAAAGTTTTGCTTTGTCATGCATTCACTATTTTACTAGTGCTCAAAAAATTAGGGAAAGAGCTGTGAAGGTGTGGCTAAGTAGTCCTCTTAGTGAGTAATCCTGTTGCTGATGTCATCGGCTTCTTGGCAGCTTTGATACATATGTTGTAGCTATGTAAGTGAACAGATTTAGAAACACTTTTTGTCTGCAGCATAGATACTTTTCTACTTCGAAGTTTTGGGGAGTTGCTAGAGCACAGTCCTTGCTAAATAACTCATTTTCTATGCAGAAAACACTGTTCAAAGTTCAGTGTCAGAAGAGTGCTTGCATATGAGATAATCAAATGTCTTTGCATAACATTCATTGCCTTGTTTAGTATTGAACTGATCACAGTTCAGGAACTGTGAGTAATTTTAAAGTCCCTGTATTGCTGTTATTATTATCTAGTTAACTAGTAAACTGTTTCCTGACTTCTTATGAAGTTCTGATAAATAACTGTGTTTATATTTTTTTAGAAAATATTCTAGAAAATATTTTGTTGAGTATAAAAGACTGAATAAACAATTAAATTGTCAAATATTTACATAAGATTCTTCTTTATTGTAGGATTTCCATTTGAATAGAGTTAACTTGGAAGAATCAGCAGGAACAGAAAGCACTCCAGCAGGTGCAAGACCTAAGAAAAAAAATAAGAAGTCCTATGATTTAACTACATCTGATAAATTCTGGCAAAAGCATAAGGGCAGGTAAGCTGTAAAGGTATACAGTTTATATTAATTTAGTCAATATAAACTCTAAGTATTCTTCATATATGGCAGTTCTGTTTTAAGCTTCTTTGAAAATCTTTTCTAGCTTGCAGGCTTTTCTTTTTAAGTTGGATTGGGTCTGGCTGAGATGAACTTCATTCCCCTCAGCAGCCCTCACAGTGCTGTGCTTTGCATTGGTGACTGGAAAGGTGTCAATAACACACCAGTGTTTTGGCTACTGCTGGGCAGTGCTCCCACAGCATCAGCACTGTCTCCCCAACATTCCTCCCCACCAGCAGGCTGAGGGTGGGCAAGGTCTTCAGAGGGGGCATAGCCAGGACAGCTCACCCAAAGTGACCAAAGAGATACTCCATACCTTTCCATACCATACTGTACCATCCATTCCATTCCACTGTTCAGCAGTAAAAGCCAAGAGAAAGGAGAAGTGTGCAGTGTTCAATGGGATTTTTTAAAATGTTTTTCTTCTGGAGCAGCTGCTCTGCCTACTGAAGCTCTGCTTCCTGGGAAATGGCCAGGCATCATCTGTTGGTGGGAAGTAGAGAATAAAACCTTTCATTTTCCTTTGCTTTCACACATAAGCTTTCCTTTTTTCAACCACCTGTATCTTGACCCATGACTTTGGGGTTTTTTCCACCTTGCTTTCTCCCCTGTCTTGCTGAGGAGAGAAGTGATAGAGTCACTTGGTGAGCAATTGGCATGCAACCAGGGTCAAACCACCACATAAGGAATGATCTTTGCCAGTATTCATTGTCCATGATAACTGTTATTTCTTTGTTACAGAGCTCAAATTGTTCTTACCAAAACTACATAAAATTATTGAAAGCAGTGAATATATCTTAGAAAGTTAAAGTAAACCTACAGTAAGAAAGTTAAAGTAAATCTACATTATATCAAGATGTCATTATTTTCACTGATTTGATTCTGCTGCATGATTTATGTATTGTTATTTCCAAAAAGGTTTTTATTGTCTGGTTCTAGTATTTCAGTTTGTTGATTTAACTGAGCTTAATGCAGACTATTGCATTAGTCCTTTTCCAGAGGTGGCCGAGTCTGTTCAGCAAGAACTGGAATCTTACAGAGCCCAAGAAGATGAAGTCAAAAGACTTAAAAGTATCATGGTAAGTTTTATCACCTGTATGTGTTTTATGTAATAAAACACATAATAGGGCTTGTAGAGAAGCCTAGCCCACCCATGTCGTCCCATGGACAAAAATTCAAATTGCATGCTGAATTTTAGGCATGATATGATCTTTAAAATAGGACTATAAGTACCATATTTCATGAGAAGTTTCCATTTCTTGTTCATTGGTGTTGCAATTATATAACTTCCATACTAACTGAACAACACAATCCAGACATTAATACCATTATGAGAAAATAGATTCTAAATGTACTGACTTTATCTGCATGTATGATATTTGTATTTATTATGACTATTTTTATTCCTCTTTTCAAACCTTTCCTCAAAACCCAGGGCATTGAAGGGGAGGATGAAGGAGCAATAAGTATGCTTTCAGATAATACAGCTAAGCTAACTTCAGCTGTCAGGTAAGTAGTCAATAATGCATTATTGTTGTTTAATTATCTGTGAACCATTTCTATTTTTTTTGTTATTGTACTTTTAGTATTCTTTGAAATAAATATCTTTAAATGGAGGCTGTTCAGCTCTATAATATTTTTAAATGCTTTATAATTCTGATAAAGTTAAATGCAGTGTCCTAAACCAGTGCTTGCATATGTAACTTCCACAATGTGTTTGACTTTGGAGTCTTTTCTCAGCAAAGACAAATAATCTAAGTGCATGATAGATTTGCTTGCACTCTTCCACCAAAATCCCCAACCTCTGCATTCTTTCATTAAAAAAAAATAGTGAAATCCTGTTCTTCAGGTATCATTATGAGAATCATTACATCAATATGTTGTCATTTTTTAGTTCCAACCCTATTCTGTAATTTTAGATTTTAATAGCTTTTAAAGGTCCTTTCCAACCCAGACTTTTCTATTATTCCATAAATGTTTTAGTGCCTACTGTATATAGTGCACAATTCCACTAACAGTGCAAATCAGCAGGTTAGTTTGTATTTAATCTCTTCAGCTCTCTTCCAGAACTTCTGGAAAAGAAGAGGCTCATTGATCTTCATACAAATGTTGCAACAGCCGTTTTGGAGCACATAAAGGTACAATTGCTCTCTAACTTGAGTTTTCTGTCAGTAGTACTCCTTAACTTTAGGGATATATTTGAGGCAGTGAAGATAAAAAAATGAGCCTTCTCAATGGTACTACTCTTTCAGAATTCACTGTGTAGCATTACTTAGTGTTGAAGGGTGAGAGAGAATGAATTCTGAATGCCTCTGCATGGAAAGCAAAGAACACCAGTTATTTTCTTATCAGAATTTACTAGTATAGTCTCTTTTTTTTAATGGTGGCCACAAGTGTTGGGTTGAAGTGTTTAAAAAAATAAGTTTATGATGGTAGTGTTTTGTTTATTTTAGAGATGTATCATGGCAATTCATGACTTCAGTCTAAGCAATCTTCTGTTCTGTATGTGTTTGTCAGAAGGGCACTGTTGACTGCTCACCAGCAAAACTGATACCCAGAGATGTGGCAATAATGATGCAACTTACTGAAGTGGTCTTTCCAGCAGGGTCTGTGTTAGATGTCTTCTGCACAATTTAAGAACTTCACAAGGGAGTTTGTCTTTCCTGTTTTAAGTCTGCTGCCTTTGTCAGAGACCTTGCAGAGGGATTCATGTCAAGTGAAGGCCCTGGTTACTGCCAGGATAACTTGGAAAATGGATTTGTTTTCACAGCAAGAAAACAGAAATTGTAGATGAGGCTTTCAGAAACGCTGAAATTCTTTTCAGTTTTGGAAGGTGTTTCAAACACCAAGTCTCACTGAAAATCAGTAATTAGAGAGTTTTACCCCAAGCTACTTAAAATTCTTGGAAGGCAATGTGTTTTGAAGCTAGCTTTAACATTTGTAAAGAATGTAAGATCTGTCCTCAGTTATTATTGCTACTGATTTTTTTAAGTACTCCATATGAATAAAGGATTAATTCTGCAATTAAATTGATAAATTCATTTGCAAATTTATAAAGTTGGAGAAGAGGTAAGGGCCTGCACTTAGGTCATTACTGTAGGGGCTACTATATGGGCTTTTACACTATTAGATATGTCAATTTTCATATCTGACAATTTAAAAGCAGTACTTTAATACCACTGAAAAAAATTGAAGTCAACAATATCAATATTTTGATCCCTTGACTCCAAATTCACTTTTCCAGGAAAGATACTGGCATGATAATGGCAGGCCTAGAGCAGTAGTATTTTATATATGATTTGTTGGTTGGAAAACAAGTTTCAGAGCAAGATGTAGAATGGCAGTAACATCAGTTTGGCTTTCCAGTATCCTATTGGCAGTGACCTGGAGTCAGATGCATTAAATGATAGCAACACACTTGATTACCTAGAGGTGGAAGGAATTGCCTTATCTGGGCATTCAAGCAATCTGGCTTACTGCTCTGATAGGGAAGATGCTATTAGGGAGTGCCCTAGGAGTGGTGATCCATTCCTCCACCATTCTTAATTCTGGTACTGCAAAGTGCTCAGGCTCTTTACCTTCCTATTGTATAAATGTCAAAGAAAATTGTGAGACAAATGGCCATGCAGTTTCTTCAATATATTGATATGTACATCTCCATCATCTTTTCTCTTGGTTTAAAAAGCATCAGTTCATCTCCAGATATTTAGGAAACTGTCTTAAACTAATGCAGATGGATGCATTTTTTCTATTGATATTTGCTTATGGTAAAGCTTTTTAACTGAATCAATGTAAAGTTTATTCCAGCTGCTTTCTCCTGACCATTTTCTCCTCTCTTTTCACCCTCCAGTGGTAGAAAAAGTATCTTTCAATCTTGAGTTGTGGAATTTTAGTAGACAGGACATTATGCTACCTAATGGATTCCTCAAAAATACTCTCAAAAAGGACAGTGTCTCATCCAGTACTTTTAAAAGAAATTCTGATGAGACATTGACTCTGTGAATAAGAGGATTTATACACAGTTACATAATGAAATCAGATAAGGATAAGGCTGATTCTTTTTTGCAAGTAAGTGCTAAGGTCATGAGGAGCTAGTGGGGCGCCATGCTCTTCTTCAGGTTACTGTATTTTCACTTCTAAAATAATCAAGAAATGCATTCACTTTAAAATAGACTATTTGCATTATCCATTATGGGATTTTACTATATTAATTATTTGAGCATTTTTCATCACTATATGTATAAGGTTCTATGCAAAGAATGCAACAAGACCTGCTTTGGATATACTAAATGAACTAAATTTTTCTTGTGGTTATACTTTAATGTTCAGTTTACAGCTGCTTTCCACATTCTCTTGGATCATTTTCTAAGACACAGCAAGAGGAAACCAGAAATTAATCACATACTTACGGGTCCTGGCAGTTTTTTGGCTTAAGATTTAGTGAAATAATGGAAAGTATGCATCACTTTTTCATGAAACTAACCATCAAGTATTTATTGTCAGTGCTTAGAACAAATACATCCTTGTTTTGCATTTATTGGTTTTTTCCTCTGCTGAAGCTGGTGACTGAAGGTCTGGACCCAATAGATAACAGATTTAGAGCTAGAGTTGCCTATGTAGCTGCTTTAAAGTTTCAAGTAATGCATATCTTTGCATGTCATTATAATATTAGTAGAATTACTGATGTATGTTAAATCATAAATATAAAAAGATGCACACATATACTTTTGTAAAATGGTGGTTGGGGGGTAGATTAGATAATCTCTTGCTAGAATTCTACAGATGTGAATTTAAGTGGCAGGTTTTTATATGTATTGTTAAATTATTTGTATAAATTTATATGTATTATTAAATTACTTGTATTTGGCTTAGGTTATTTTTAAAATTCCTACATGGTTTTATTATGTATCTCTATTTCTGCTTGATCTCAAGGTTTGATACTTTGAATGATCTCTTAATTGGGATCCCCTTAATTGGGATTGACAATAGCCTTTCAACTTTTCAAATTCATATTTTTAAAGGAATTCCACTATTTTAAGTAAGGTTACATTTTGGTCTTACACCCTGTGAAATGGTATGTGTTTGTGAAATATGTACATCATAGTGGGCCAGGCTGTTTTCTGTAGTTCAGAACTGATAATTCATTAACCTTCTAGTAACAACACCTTTTTCTGAGCTCAGTTACAGTGACCTTCCAGTCATCATTCTATGCAGTTCAGTGAAAAGGAATTGGCTGTGTCAACCACTCCCAGCCTTCTTGCAGAGTTTCTCTTCCTCTCCATAGCAGCACACTATGATTACCTGACCAACCTCCCTCATTCTGGAGGCAGTTATTTCTGGTCTTTCTCTGTCAACATCTTTAAAAAGGATCTCAGATAGTTTCTTAGAAAATGTCTTCTCTCTTCTGCATATTCTCTCTCTCTAAAATTAAGAACTTTTGTAGTGTAAAGAGGATAGAAGAGCTTCCAGCAAGTCTCTACAAAAATTACCCTCTAAGAGATTTTAATGGGTCCTGCCTCCACTTACTTGCTTTAAAAAGAATTGTGTTCATTTTGGAGTACAGTGCTCAAGTAGACTTTCCCATGCACTTCAGTAATTTTCCCTAAAATAAGTTTTGGCTTACGAACAGCCTATTTCTAAAGATGATAAGTTGAAAACTTTCACAAATATATTTTTTTAAAAACCAAGCTGAAGTGTGGCACTTTAACTGCAATGTAGGATCCTGTTTCTGAAAGGGCAGCCAGAGCCAGAAAGGTCTCTTGAATGAGATTGGTGTGGAACAAGATGTCATAATAGAAAGTCAAGAGCAGGAGGCAGAAAAGGAATAACTGTAAAAGCAAATGCATCTTTATTTTATTATTTTCTATTATTATTGATTTTCTTCACATTGCTTGCCAGTTTGGCACCCATAAGAGCATATTCTTTGCTGTGTTTTTTATTGAATCTACAGGATTGTTTAGCTCCTATTCCCCAGCTTTTTCTCTTGGCATGCCTGTGAGTTTGCCATTGAGTGAGCAAAATTGTACTTATTTAAATTAAATGGGACATCTGCTTCTTATCAGCACCTCTTAGACAAGTTGGCTCTTCGAGAACTGTCTCATTGATGTGGCATATCTGGGATATCTATCAAAAGGTAACTAGTAGTGTTTAAGGCTATTCAGTAACCATATGAAATTTGATTAGGTGTCCATCCAATTCCTAGCAAACCAGTATCAGAAAAATATTGCCCTAATTAGATCTTTGCTAGTAACTTTCATTAGTTATCTAATGAAGAAGCAGCTGAATAGGCTTACCACGTTGATCCATCCCTTTAGTTTATCACGTCAGACAGACGTGTAAACTCAAAAGTTTTACATTGCTGCTTACCTCTGATGTCCCTATTGTGGATGGAAAAATTAGTGGATAGGAAAAAAAACATGGACCTGAAGTTTTGGGATTTTCAGTTGGGGGGTTTTCCCCCAAAGAGTGCTGAGTTCACACTTCAGAAGTAATTCTGCAAAATTTTTGAAGGGAGTGAGTGTACATGTATCATTAATGTTTCAGTTTAGGCTCAAAGTATAGCCCATATATGCAAACAGTGAATTTTCTTTGCTGCTGGTAATCTGTTTTGTTCAGCAGCCATAGTCAAACAGTCATAAAGTTGCACATGGCTGAGAAGAATTTTACCTAGGCTGTGCTCCAAGTAAGTTAACAATTGTCAGTCTGTTCTTAAAATTGAAATTGATGTTTGAATTACGAAATTTTATTTAGAAGTTGATCTGTAAACAAATACAGAGAATCAGTGAATCTTTTTATGTTGTACATTTTTACATGCCATCTGAATAAATTTCTCGTAAACAGATCACCAGCTAAGATAATATGGGCTTTGCCAAATTCAACAGTAATATATTTAACTTTATAAGATCAAGTTTCCACATTTAAAGACAATCCCTTTTTTATTGGATGCCTTTTGTCGGGGAAAAATATTTTAAACTTAAAAACATTGAATTTAGCCTCACATAACAAGATACTGATGTAGATGAAATACAAAGAGCAAGTGAATGTAATGGAAATACTTAAAAATTTGTATTAGTTTCTTTGCAATTGCTTTATGTCTATAGAGAGATTTAAGGAAACTGTAACGCAGAAAATCTCCAAGGCGCTCTAGAATTGAGGTCTCACATGGTTTACCAGATACCAAATTGCATGTGATGTAAGGTCTTGGAAAAAGGCTGGTAGCTGGGTTCTAGTCAGACTTCATACTGCTCTTTAACATAAACTCAAGGTAAATATAGCTTGAAAGAAGCTCTAGTCCTTTTTTTTTCCCTCATTTCATGCATCCTCTATGTAGTCATAGTCATAGAAGACATTCTTCTGCCCCTAAAAGTAGCAGGGGTCATCTCTGAGTGCTCTTCATGGTAATTTACTTTATAAGCTATAATTGCAAGCATCCACAAAAACTTTAAGTTGTTGCTTTGCAAGTAAATGCTCTTCTCAAGGAGTTCAGTAAGTGGCAACTGAGGAATTGAAGCTTTGTATAGCTACCTGCATCATAAGCTAATCACCATATGCTTTCAATATAAAAATATTCGTGTAATTCATATCTTTTTTACTTTGCTTTCTCTTCTCTAGCTCTTTTTTTGAGGAACTTACAGTACTCAGAAGGTGAAATATCCTGATAGCCTTACACTAGAGAAATACCTTTTTTTTTTAGAGAGGTGGTAAAATAACTTTTTTGAAATTAATTTCTTATTTGTGATCTCAGGCATAATTTTAGTAGAATTCAGAAATATGTGAAAACCAGACCCAGACTTCTAAAGTTTTTATGTCCTGTCATTAGAACTACTACTGCACTGAATAAAATATGCCATAGCAGTTTTAAATGCTTTGGCATTATGAGGCAAAATTTCTCAAATCATTTAATCCAAGAAAAGCAAGGTGACTCTTGCTCTCTCTGGCAATATCATTTCAGTCTCACAGCAGCAATGGTGTGGACCTGACACACTTCCAAAGCAGCAAGATGGAGATCCACTCTGCCAATCTCCTGTTGGAGCCAATACATGGCTGAATGTGTTCAAACATCAGGATTTAGTTAGTTACCACATACTAAGGTTTTGTAAGCTGAGCAGCTCTAACATTGGTTGTGATGCTACATTTTAATGTTCAAACACACATAATGATCTGCATTGTAAAGGAATGTTTTAAAATAAGTTCTGGAGTGCATTTTTCTATTTTTAGCTTGTAAGATCATGATCAATAAGGGCAGAGCTTGTCTGTTTGTGCAGATTTGCTGCAATGCAGTCATTACTTGCATGGCCATGTGATGTCTTCCATAAAGCTTTTGCCTCAATAATTTTGTGTAGTCCCTGTGCCATCCTCCCCAAAAAGGATTTTCACAACATCTAGATGTGTCATTGTATAATGAGAGACTTCTTTTCCAGTGTCAGCAAGATAATCTAATTATAAACTTCTCCATCTTGGTGTGAGTGAATTATGGCAAGCCTTTGATCTGAGGTAGAATTTCCGTACCAGCCCAAGCTGGCAGTTGCCAACGTTTCTTCGGGATGATGCCTTAGTGTATAAAGGAATTTCCCATATTTATCTGCATTGAATAATTGTCATGTGGTCTAGGGGCCTGGAAGTTCAGAATAAACTGGACATAATATTCACTTGACCATTATTTTTTCCTTTTACAACATAGCAATGTGTATGATGGCATGTAGTTTTCAGCTGTTGCAAAGCCATACTTGAAAACAAAGCTTCTCTTCCAGTTCAATATTCACAGCAGACACCCCTTGCTTAACTTGCTTTTTCACTTTTTAATATGATAATTAAATACACATCAACTTTCTGAGAGTTAATAAAAGCATATTATAATACAAGCATTAGTTACTTTTACTGATAATGTATTTAAAAATAAAATTTTTAAAACTGTATTTTTAACTTAAACTGCATCCTTCTGGAAAGAGAAAATAAATATTCTTTCACAATTTTAAGATGTTAACCCTAACACTTACTCTTAAACAGAGTCGAAAGCTGGATGTGTATTTTGAATATGAGGAAAAAATAATGAGCAAATCCACTCTGGATAAATCTCTTCTGGACATGATTTCTGACCCAGATGGTGAGTACTTTAAATCTGAACTTGGTATAAAATTTGTTAAGCTATCCAATAAATCTATACCTGCTTGGATTTCAGGGTTGGTAAAGAGCACCCTGTGCAAGATTTTTAACAAAAGCAGCTTTTGATTGATTTTCAGTAGCAGTCTAGAGAGTTTAATGCTTCAGTTGAGTAATATCCAAAATATTAGCTACTTCTGCAGCTCTACTAAAATCCTATCCTAACCCCTTATTTTTGAAGGTCAATATATTTTAGTTTTTGTGCTTTTGCAGTATTTAGTAGTGTAGCATGGCATTCTGTGGTCTGAACAATACTAATTCTTTAAAATCCTCCTGCATGTTTTATAACATATACATACCTCACAAGCACAATGAAAACATCATAGAATTTGACCAGATCAAGGGACTGTAATGTAGGTAGCTCCTGCTTGTGTGAGGAAAGAGATGAATGGGACAAGTGGAGAGAGGAGACACAAGGTGTAAATTGGCCAGTTCACTGGACTCACCTGAAGCTTTGCACATGTTGACTCAGCTGTGCCATGTCTGTTTTGATCATGTAAGAACACGAGCAATGCATCCCAGCTTCTGTGTCAGAGAGGGGTCAGACATACCAGAGCATTGCACACCAGGGGTACTCGGGTTCTCTGTTTGCAGGAGTCACTGGGGGTCTTCCTCTGAATGGCTGACCCAAATGACTTCTCAGCTTTTTGTACTATTCCAGCATCAATTCTTCTTTCAATCTGTCACAGCCTGATGTGTGTCAAAACACTCTGACAGATTTCAGTATGATCTGATACCAGCTGCCTGGAAAAAAATAACGTGCAGAGCAAAATTGTAAAACTTAAATTAGGATCTCTGACTTGTCTGCATACTGGCAATTATGTTGGCAGACCTCAAGCATTTAGAGACCCAGGGTTCCTGCTTTTTTTCCAGTGTGCTTTTCAAGAAAACGTTTTGTTACTGCATGATTTTGTGTGTAGTCTTACAGCTACATGCTGAGCTTAATGCCTGCTTGGAGTTTGTATAATGATTCATATTTGTAGAAAGAATATATATACATCCTGCTGACATTCTGCAAAAATCTTTTAATAGTGTCCATGCTGTATAATCAAAGGGCAGTAGGAGAAATAGTGCACAGTTGGTAGAAATCTGAGCTAAAATTTTAAGATCTCATAATAGGTCAAGTCTAGAAACTAATAAGCTTTCAGAAAATCTAATGTCAGACATCAGTCTGTAATTCAGTACATATATTCATTTTTTATTTGAAGCTAATAAGAATATGTATAATCTGTACTTTTATTAAGCATCAATACAATTACTTCTTACTTGAATCCACATTTTTATGCCTTTTTACAGTTCATTGTAGAACAAATTGTTTTCCAAGCCTGATGTATCTTACCAACATTCCTATTGGCAAGGTTCCTGGGTTTTTATACAAGACAAGGATTAGATTCATAAGCTAGAGTTTTTCTTCATAAGCTAAGTATTCATAAGCTAGGTTTTCACAGTATTATGTTGGCATTTTATATTCATTGTCTAGGTTTAAGTTTATGTAAGAAAAAGATTTGAGTTAAACCATGGTGATTATTTCCAGGCATGCTGTCTTGTTAAACTGTCCAGCCTCATATTGTGTGATTCACTGAGAAATACCATCAAAAAACATTTTTAAGGAATAATACATCAAGTCTTTCAATGCTTCTGGTGGATTATTTATTGGCATAATGTGTGGGGATATTTGTCTTGTGGACAATGGGATCTGCAGAGCTCTTGATGAAAGCACTTAGATGTGACCACTTAACAGCTGCAGGCTTCAGCCTCCATTTGTTACTGTGTTGTGTTCATCTACCACTCTGTTGGCTCTTACCAGCTGCCTCCCACTTTAGTGGGTATTACCATACCCTGGAGTAGGGATAAAATGGAAGCTACGGGCTGCCTGCAGATTTTTCAACTGAGTATAAAAGTGGTCCATTCTAGTTGTGCCAAGTTAGGTTTTCTTCAGAATGTTGAGCAGTTTGCCTCTCTGTGTTGTCACAGATCGTAGTCTAGAAAAAAGTAGTGAATATTTGACAGGCAACTGACCTGAGTCTTACAGCTGTTTATCACAGCTTTTTTTGCCCAAGTGAATTCCAGGTGGATCTGTACCTTGAAAGCTGGCTTTTGGTATTGATAATACAAAGTTTCTTCAGTTCTTGATCTTCTAACTTACTGATATTTGGTAAAGGTTAGTAAAACCTACTTTGAGAAGATCGAACAAAGTCATAAATGCTCATTATGACAGTGCTTACTCTTAACTTCTGCCAGACTAAATATATGCTCGCTTATAAATAAAAGTTGCAGATTAGGTCAGATGGTCTCCTGCTGACATAATCCACATTCCATAGTAGGGGAAAACAGCCCAAAACAAACAATACAGAAAAAGAAAAACAGGAAAAAAAGTCATTTTCTTACCCACAAGTACAAGAAAGTGCAGTCTTATAAAATATTGTACTGAAAGTATCAGGCTTTTATAATGAATTGTAATTTGAAATGTTTGTTTTGAGAAGTTGTTCTTCTGAAAACTTCATTTGAAATTATTGTTTTTACTCACCGTGATTCTCATCTAGAAAAATAAAAAAGATAGTCTTCAAAATCTGATGTAATAATTTATAGTCTAAGTAATGGCTACATCAACCTTTTGATCTCTAGATATAAATTTTGATTGCATATGAATAATGCTTCCCAAGAATGGGAAGTGTTTTTCTCCAACAAAAGAGGATTTAGGAGGTCAAATCCTTTCTGAAGGCAAATTGGAAGTTCACGGGTTTTTTTCCTGACCAGAGGTTCATATAAGTGCTTTTGTAGTCCTCAGGTATTTCAGTACAGTGAACCATAGAGCTGTGTAAGCAAGTTGTAGAGCTAAAAAATAATATGCTGTGGCTTTTACTTCTATGATTTTTCTTTAGTCTGCTTTTTCATGGACCAACTTCCAGATAACATTTGCAATCTCCACATAAAATAAGTCGTAATTTCTCTACACAATTTTTTTAGTATGTTATTTGAAGAATAATATTTACTACAGACAAAAGGTGGAAGTGTAAAACTTGCAGAAAGAATAAGCACATCTAACCCAACTCTTAATAAAATTGTCTGCCATTATACACATGGTTATCAATAACATTTATTGTCATATACATATGTATGTCTGCTGAAGAGCAGTTAATGTAGTAGCATAGTTACAATTGTAGTTTATAATTCTTTTTTTTTCTGTCTTTCTGCAGCAGGAACTCCTGAAGACAAAATGCGATTATTTCTCATCTATTACATAAGCTCAACTCAGGCACCTTCAGAGGTACCTACGTTCTTTACAGCTTCCAACACCAGATTCTACCACAAAGGATTTTCATTTCAGCACTAAGCAGATATTTCTGTGTCTTTGTAAAGGGAAGTATGAAATGCTCAGGAAATTATAAAAATTTAGTAAGACAAAAATAATAAGACAAAATAAATTTTGTCTTATTGCCAGGAAATCTGCTCACAAAGCTTTAGCCACCATTACAAAGAATATGAATGACTAGTAAGAAGGAATATTACATTGTGATATATTTAGATCAGAGTTACTGCAAGACACATCTTAGCATGCTTTCTATTACTCTGCTCCACTACTCAAAGAAGTAGGTAAAGCAAAACAAAAATATGACTCATTTCACTTCATCTTCATATATTCAAGAATGATTGAGTCAGTTGACTAGCAAGAGAATGAAGGAGAAATGCATCTGCCAATATCTGAGTAATTCAGGAAACAATTTCTTCTTATTTCTTTTGAACTTAGGATGATTGATTTCAAGGAAAATTCTTACACTATAGAAACATTATCTGATGCAAAAAATGTTTTGGTTAGGCAAATAAAAAGTATTTGTATTAATGTATATTAGCTCCTCTTTGTTTATTTTTTACTGTTTTGACATTGTATAGAAACCAGCATTCTGTTGATGCTAGTATAAATATTGTTCCATATCTGAAAGTGCACAGGATTTAATTCCACAAATACTGTTCATTTTAATGGGATCTGCTCATGGCAAATTTAATTTCAAGTCGCATTTCTGTACTTGGTAGGAAATGGGAGTAAGATTCATAATTAATTTTTAAGTTGGGCCAATGCTATAACTTTGCACTACTTACTTAATATTTAGATAAGGATATCTTGTCTTTGTACATGGAGTTAAGAGTAGCTTCAACCTTTTATAATTCTCCACTGTATGATTTCAGATTGACTTGGAGCAGTATAAAAAAGCATTGATGGATGCAGGTTGTAATCTCACTCCTTTGAACTACATAAAACAATGGAAGTAAGTAAATTCTTTTTTCTTCTGTATGAGGCTAACTGGTTAATATAGAACCTAGCATTGTATTCAGGAATTATGTGTTATTTCTCTTAAATTGTAAATTATCCTTAAATATTCATTTGGTGTAAGTTTTTACTGTTACTGTTCTGGTAATACATGCAAATCTTAATTTAAAACTAAGCTCCAGTAGTGCCAGAACGCTATAGAACATGACATGCCCTTAATGATCCAGGATAGAAACAACTTACTGAATTAATTGAAAAGTTGTGTTAGTTCAAACCTCAAAGTTTTTTTTAGTTCGTACCAGGGAGTAATGTTGGTACACATGGTATTGTAGTTTTACATGGCATTTAAATGAAATACTTGTCTTTAACTATAGAATCTAATTCCTATTGTATTTGTAGGCAAGAGGGATGCATATAATAAATAGTTACTTCCTGAAAGAGTTCAAAATGCAGAAGTTTTTTCACTTTCAGATGACTAGAGTGGAACATTCTACAGAAGTATGTGCCTTAGATAAATATTTGATTTCTATCCCTGCTTTCACAGAGCTTTCACTAAGATGGCTTCAGCTCCAACCAGCTATGGAAACGCTACACCTAAACCTTTGGGGTATGCTTTTGATTAATTTTTTGTAAGCCTTTGGGTTCTTTTATCCTATTTCAGTAGTGCTGAAAGTGTGGTTAGCATTCTACAAGGCCCAGAACAAAACATCTCCCTATTTGTAAAATTTTTAATTACAGACAATTACAAGCACTCATCTCCCCTTAACAGCATAGTACATGAAGGGAGGAAAATAAAAGGATCTGGGACTAAATTCACAAACGATCTTAATGCAGTGCCCTCTGCACCTGCACATTCAATGCACTCTCACAGGAGAGGAATTCAGCAGCAGGAACTGGATCTGTGACAGCTATCACTTTGAGCCCTAAGTAGTCAGTGGCAGAAGATAAAAACAGCCCTGTATAGTCAAAATAATTTCTCTCTTGGGTTTGGAGACTGTCAGGGGTGCAAGGACACTCTGGAGTGTCCTGGACTGGGTATCTGACTTGTTGAAAGGTGTAGTTATTTATTTCAAGACACAAGGAAAAAAATTACTGTGCTGAAGTTACATATATGCAGTAAGGATATAGGAGTAGGATCTTCCCATTCTTCAGAGGATTTCAGTCCTCATTACCAGCCTTACTTTCAGGAATGCCCTGTCCCTGTTGTAAGGAATCTTGGCATAGTATGGTTAGAGAGGATTCTGGTGCTGTTTCTCTTGGGAAAATGCTCTTTGGGTTGTTGAACACGCTCAGCCTCTCTGTTAACCCTGGTCATTGGGTGTAGAACAAACTGTTCAGTGGATTAAATCCAAAGCTCCCATTGATAGGTGAGGATCTGTCTGGTAGATTACTAGTGTATTCCCATACATGTGATTGCCATGTGATTTGAAGAATATATTTTATGACAAACTGAATTACTTGGTAATTAGGTCCTATTGATTTCATTGGGAATTGGATGTCAGTATAAAGCTTAAGAATACAAATTAAAAAGAACTCATACATCATCTTCATTTTGTTTTTTCAGTCTGTTTTCACGTGTTATGAATACAGGATCACAGTTTGTAATGGAAGGAGTGAAGAACTTGGTACTGAAGCAACAAGTAAGTTTAAAAAATAATTAGAAAGTCTATCATGAGTACTGTGAACATTTGGAAAAACAAATTTCAGTACCTTTGTCATATTAATAAAAATTCATTGTGCAGTGAAAAAAGTAAACATAAATCTCTGCTTATGGATAGATCTTGTAACTTCCTTTGTAACTTTGTAACTTCCAGATTTCAAATAAATAAGGAATAATTCACATTTTGTTTGAAGACCTCTTTGTAGCAATTAAGACTGATTTCAGGATTATAAAAAAAATCATCTGTGGAGTACTCAAAGTAGACTAGCCCTTCATAAACAAAAAAATATAACTATCCGTATCTTTACTTAGAACTACATGCATTAAGTTAATCTATTTCAGAGTGATTAAAAGGCTGAAAGTGTTAGTTCTCTGTTTACTTAACAATTCAAAACATTTCCTTTTTCCCATGTGAGTGTAATGTACAGCAACTATAATCTTGTAATGTGCATGAAAATACAAATATGTTTATAATGACGTGACCACCTTCAAATATTCACTTGACTTTGTAAAATATTTCTGAGCATAACTTGCATGAAATATACATCCTCCCAAAGAAAACAAATAACAACAACAGCACAAAAAAAAGAAACTGGTTATATAACTTGTAGCTGGAATGTTGAATTGTGGTTCCCAGAAACCTCCTTCTCTACAGAGGATACATTATTTTCCCGATATGTAATTTCATCAGATGGCAATAAATAAATATTTATTTACGGTTTAAAATCTTAATTCTGTAGTATTTTCAGATCAAGATTTCTGGAAAAAAGATCATTCATCATATTATAATTCAGTTGAAGAGTCAGAATTCAAATTAGAAATACAACATATTAGAACTAAATAAAATGAAATCTTAACTAAAGGTTTATCCTTTTGACCTACTTAATCATATCATTGTCATTGTTTCTTTATTCAGCCTGTTATACACATAATTTATACATGAAAGGTATCAGATATCACAGAAAAGTTTAAAATTGGGGTCTCAGGTTTGTAGGGCAGTTAATGAAGTTAATTTTGCAGGAATTTCACTATGACTAGAATGATAAGCTGCATTGCAGAGTTACAACTCAGTGGTATATCCTGATATATGATTGAGGAGCATTTAAATATGCAGCTTGCCTGTGTGTTATATTTTATAGAAAATTCTTCAGATAAACCATTACATATAATAATAGAAAACAAGTATAGTCTCCAGGAGACTTCCTCCTCTCCTTGCAGTAAACATTTTGTAATTTCTTTAAATGTGTGGCTTTAAAGAGTTAATATTATTCTGTACAAAATGGCTTGCCTTGTTTTGCCTTCTGAGGGAGCAAAAAGCCAATTTGCTTTGTTTTCAGCTTGTGCCTTTCTGGCTTTTAATTTCTTCTCCAGGTATTTTAGGCTAGCAAGATGAGAAGCCTTTCTTCCTCGTATTTGTAAGCCTAATGTAGGTCTGTGGTATTTCTGTTAAAGTTAACTTTTTATTTTTCCTTCAGTAATTCAGGGATTCACATCAATTTTCCAGTGTAATAGGTAGCTCATCCTTTGGAATGTCCTCTTTTGATACATTCTGTCAACAAGACTCATTTCCAATCTTGTTGCTATGTAAACTCACCCTCGGTTTATTATAACTGAAGTAGTTTAACTCCTTAATATTCCGATCTTTTTTCCAGCTGACATTTCCTGTGTTAAACAAGGAACAGTAATCTTGAATTTCACCTCAGTTTATTCCTTTGCAGGTCATCCAAAAATTTGTTGCCAGGGTTGCTTTTTTTACCCATTTCTTTGACAACATTAGTTCTTTTTTAGAATCACACAATTATCAGCATCAGCTTTAAAATTCTTTCCTTAACTGCAACGTATTTTTTAATAAGAATTCATATTTGATCACATCTGCGTATGTTGGTAATACCTAAATACAGCTGTGTTCCTGTCTTCACACCTTTTTTGCACTTTATGTCTTATCTTTATCCCCCAGCTATATGCACCTCAGATGTTTGCATTTTTTTACAGAAAAGTAATTTAGGTGATATTTGATATTTAAGCTTAACCTTAACAAAGCATAAGAGGAAACTGTTTAAAATAGTATTTCAGATGCTCTATAAACTCTTCCATAAGTAATGATGTGCCTGGGAATAGTTCTGAGTAAGCTTTTCAGCATTCCATCAGTTTCACATTATGTTTTACAGAATCTGCCAGTCACACGTATTTTGGACAACCTTATGGAGATGAAGTCAAACCCTGTGAGTACAATTGCCTTCCTATAGAGAGAGGTGGAGCAAATGAAATCTTGAGTCTGTGCTATGTCATATGCGAAAGCTAATTTTTTTCATGATAGAAAAAATCCAATCATGCTGTATTTCAAGAATAGCACCATTTTCATAACTATTTAGTAAGACCTCTTCCATTATAATAGTCTAAACAATGACAATTTATCGTGTCTCATTGGACCTAATATTTTTTAGATTTTTCCTATTCTGAGCTTCTATTACACTTGTGTTATACTAAGCTTCTGTTGCTCCTAAATTTCTACATTAAGCTGTAGACTAAAATTTTCTTTGCAACAAAGTGTTTGTTTTTTAAAAGAGCACAATTTTAGAAGTGAAATATTTAGAGAGAGTTGTATTAGGGAAAATTACATCTCCCATATCTTTAAACTTTGTAGAGGAAAATATTTTACTACTGAGTCAGTCATTCTTCTTACAAGCAGAGGTGGTTTTTGTCAGAAAATTCCTCTTCTTGCCTTGTTTCTGTGAAAATTTACTCAGATATTTTAAATTTAAATGTTAAATTTAAATGTTAAAAATGTTTTAATTGCTTGTGTGTTAGCTACCCAGTCAAGGCATTTGCTAGAACTTACAACTAAAAGTAGGCCTGGTTAGTAGATTCAAAACATTCTTCTTAGTCCACTTTCACCTGCATGTATTAACTTTATGTACAGAGAGAAAAATAATGGTAAAATATGAAAATTATCAATGTGCAAGTAATCCTTTCTTTCCTTAAACTGTATTTCATAGATGGTATATGTTGTGATTCTTAGCTAATCTCTAAGATAATTTGCTTTCTCTTAACAAACAAAGGAACTGACACTGTTTCCAGAGTTAGTGGATTGTTGTTCCTGTTTGGAAGACTTGGAAAGGATGTACAGGGCTAACTTTATTTAGTCAACCAGCAGAGGTCACCCAGAACACTTACCATAGAAAGCTGAAATTAAAACTGTAGAGAACTTACAAGAAGGTGAAAAATTAAACCTTTTTTTTTTTTTAAATAAACATTAGCTTCTTTAGGCTACAAGTTTAGGAGTTGATTGAGAAAAGTTTGCAAGTCATATGAGGTTTCTTTTCTGACTTGATTTTTTCACATTTACTTAGTAGAAAACAGCTACCAGCACTTTGATAATTTGGAGATAACATTGATTTTCTCATTTAAAAAATCAGCATTTGGGCCAATCTGTCAGTCAGCAGCTTCCTGCTCCACTGCCATGGCAGACACTGATACTCATGGCACAAAACAGGGAGTCCCACTTTTCAAGTCATAGGAGACCAGGCAATCCCTAAAGGCTGATTCTCCTAACCTGCAGGAAAACTGACAGCAAGTTTGGAGTAAGTTTGAGCTCAAGGAAGCAAGCCAGAGAGTCATTGTGGAATGTGTTTAGACTTGCTGTACTATCAACAGAAGTGAAATTGTATCTGGAAAAGGTCAATGTGTGGAAATACACCATTGTGGCTTCTGTTCATCTTCTGATGTGTGGGATCATTTTCTGTTTCCCAGAATAGAAAACTACTGCACTGCAGGCAAAACACAAAGGGAGAGAAAAAAGTTCAAGATTTTATTTTTTTACAACACAGAAATACTCCTTTATAATTGAAGAAATCATATTAACCACAGTAATCCGTGTATGAAATGTACATACTGATAAAAGGTGTAATGCAAAATTAGAGCAGATTATTGAGAAGTAAAGTAATTATATACAATGAATGGAAATAATTTATTTTCTAGATATTAACTGCAACAATAAAGGAAATATATTAAATGTGCATACAAGTTGTACCACAAACATTCAATATATATTATTGTCAGTTGAAATCTTCAACCTATTTAGAATGATATCCTGTGCAAAACTCTGTGGGGTTGTCTGTAAATCACTTTATGTGTTGCTTGTCTCTGCTGTTTCTTTTTTTCTCTCTGGCAAGGACAAATAAGCCCATGCCACCCATGCTTTTCAAGTTTTTCAGAAGCAAGAACAGCTAGAACAGATTTTATGGGCCATAAGATCTAAGTTAAGTTACTATCTTGTAACTTTTTAAATTTTTCTAGATTGTTTAACTATAGCTACACCTTTTCTTGAAAAACATCTTCAGAAACATTCCTTGATGACCTTAAAAGTAATCAGTTACTTGTGAGTATTTTAAATAATAATATTTATTGTTAAAAGCACACTTTTAGGCCATGTCTTTTAAGGTCCTATTTTAATAAAGGAATGTTGTGTTCGTAAAACTAAAACATAGTTGCTTTAAATAGAGGTTGATTAAAACATTGAATCTTCATAAACAAACAAAAGTATACACAACTTTTAATTCATATCTGTGAAATTGACCATGATTTACTATAGAGTTATGGAGATCCTTCTAAGGATCTTCTGGAAAATTATTTGATTATTGAGTGGGGAAAATATTTGAAAAGTGAACCTTTACAAAGTGGTTAAGCCTCTGTCAATACAGTGTGTACATTTGTATTGACTTAAGTAGATAGCTCTTATTTGTGATATTTATTAATGAAACTGTATTTTGGTTAATACTGTCCCTTTCAGCAGATATGGTACCTTTCAGACTTAGGATATACCTTTCATGCATTACAAAGAAAAATTCTAATCCAAATTGGTCCTGTTAGCTTCTGCAGGAAAAAAATACAGACTGCAAATCAAAGACATTTCCATGGATCTTTTTCCATTTTATTTGAAATATTGAAAACTAAGTTTATACATTCAGAAGTATTTATTTTCTTCTGGAATTGCTTAGGGAAGTCACAAATTCAGTTGTATGTAAGGAAAGTGCTATACACTTGTTTTTCTTGGCAGACTTGCTATATGTTAAAGAAAATAAAATCGACTACGCTTTCTTTTCCCTGAACCCTCAGCACTGATTTCAGCAGGAATAGTGTATTTAAACAGCAACAATGGAAAATCCCTAGGTTATCAAATTTCTATTGCTTTACTACTCTCTGTGTGTCTACTTACACAAGCCCACAGTGAAAAAAAACACAGCAGTAAAACATTCAGGAGTAAATGTTTGTTATATGTTTATTAACTCTGATTTTTAGTTCTGTCATTAATCTGTAATTCCCTCTAATAAGCAAAGAAAGTTAAACTCTTTATCCCAGGTAAAGGTTTCTCAAATACCTCTCAGTTTTAGTCTATCAATATCTGTCCATTCCCAGCTCTCTTTACCCCAGAGTCACTATACCACCTTTAGGTATGAAGCTGCAAAATCATGAATGCTGGCAGACTCCAGCAGTTGAAATTCCCAGTGGAGCATATAAAAGCATTTTACAGAGATTCAGTGGGAAATTAGATCTAAATTATTTTCTTTTTAAAAGCCAAGCTGCAGGATTATTTTATATAATTACATAAAAGTTTGTAATATCAAATAGATTTATTTTGTGTGTGTGTAACCACCGCATGTATATTAAATACTTTTTTATATTAGAGGTAGTTATGCTATGTGAGTTCTAGTAAATTCCCCACATAATTTGTCTACTACTCAAGAAGTATTTTTTCTGCTCTACAGAATCAGCAGAATTCAGAGGTTTTTGCATGTAAGCACACAGATAAATTGTAGTTCTGCATGCAGTTTATCAACAAACTAAACTTAACAGTACCTGGATGAAAATGTAGTATAGAAACAGGAGAAAGCCAAGAAGTTGTCAGAAGGAGTTACTAAGAAGTCCTGTTTTTCATCCATAATAATTGGCAAAAATCCTGCTTGTTGCCAATAAAAATATTGGAAGTGCCTCAGTGTTCTGTGTGAAGAAATTTTTTTTCTGTAGTTTAGAGAGTCAAACTTTTCAAATTTTGTGGAACTCATTTCTTCTTCAAGAGCTTAATTTTGGTTTAATAGTAGTCATAAATCATGACATGAGAAGGATAAGTTACATACCAGTAGCAGATTTTGATCTGTTTTGTCCTTAGCACTCATTGCCACAAAAGTGTTTTGTTTTATAATGTTAAATCAATAGCAGATCTCCGTAACCTGGAAAATGTTCGTGTTTGTTACTAACCATCAGTGTTCCTCTAAAGCTGGTAACAATTTTTCTTTCTGCATGCTGTCTTTCTGTTGAGATTCATTATGCAACCAGTATATTTTTTGGAAAGTGTGTGGTAGTCAATTTTAGATGAACCAGAAATAAAAAGCTCAATAGCACCCTTCATAGCTTCTCACTATTGTTTATTCTGTACTGGTTCAGTTATATACAAACTTTTTAAATACTAGTAGACACCACAATTAATGTTGAATGATGTGATGGGAAATGATACTGGTTTGAACAATGTTTAATGTCATAGATACAAGCAAAAATTCATTAGCCAAAATTCCAGTCTTTTGAGATAAAAACATACTTTTTAATAGGAGACAGATGACTATCGGTACTTTGACCCCAAGATGCTGCGAGGCAGTGACAGGTGAGTTTTGCTCCTTTCCTTTTACTCCATGAAAAGACTAACTTAAGAAATCTGTTTTATTTTGCTTGCTGACTATAAGTAATTATTTTGATCATTAATTCTAAGTCAAGACAGTTGGTCTTGAAGGAATTTACAAGTGGGAACTTGGATCGATCAGATAAATTTTTATAACACTGCAAAAAAAATCTAAAAAATAAGTGCTAACGTGTACATTAGTCACAGGAATGTGCATTAATATTTAGCAATAATAAGTGTTGGGGTTTTTCACACTTGTACTGCTTGGTTTTTTAGAAACTTTGTGAGTTTTCACTGTTAAATAGTCATTGGATAGTGCACCAAAATTTCCTTGTCACTTTTTAAACAGTTACAATTCTGATTTTAATACAACCCTTCTTTAGTAATTTGTTACTAAGTTCGAAAAAAAAATTAAATTTTACTGCATTTATTTTTGTTTAGGTAGGTGCACATTTTATGTTCATGTGTATATGAAGGGAGGCTTGGATATAGTTTATTTTGCCAGTAAAAGAGAGGAAGAGGAGTTACGTCAGAAGTTTATAAATCTTAATTTTTGCTTTGTATCTTTAACTCATAATTGTCTGATAGTCTCACCTAATCTAATATCCTGGCAACAGAGAAGGTACCTAATTTTGATATTCTTTCTAACAATAGCTGTCATTGAACCTGTGGGAAAACAATAATCTCATTTGGTTGCACCACTTTATTACAGGATCAGTGTGGATAAAGTAGATTCAGGCTTGGTTTTAGTTATTTGCATGAAAATTCTGTCTCGGCTTTGTTCTTGAAACATGAAAAGTAAAAGGACATAAATGTCAAATTATTTTTATGTTTTATTGAAAAGTATTACAGATTATAAAATTTCAAAGATAAGCAAATTTTGAAATTATCAAAGAGAAAAGCACTATTGTATTATATTTAATTTTGATTTCAACTGTCACTGATTTTACAGAGTTTTTGGTGGATTTTGTGCAAAAGTGCAAAGATTTGTTTTACTCAAGCCGAAGGGTTTTTTCCATTTTCTGCCCTCTCTGTATAGTTCTTACATTGTTTTAAACAATGTAGAAATATTCATTTACAGCAATTCAGAAATGTGGCATTCTGTGTATCTACAGTAGTCATCATAGGTAATAGCTTTTAATTTCTGGTTTGAGATTTGTACGTAAACTCAAGTTATGTTCCTTAAATCATACTTGGGCATGATAGCAGAACTCAGGCAGTAGTTTGCCTAATTCTCCCTTCAAATATTTTGTAGACAATAAAAACATATGTTAGTTTTCTTGACAGAATTGTCATATAAAATAATATAATTAATGGATTTAATTTAAAAGTTACTGATTTTATTTTCTATCTCCCATTTTAAGAAATATTGACATTTCTACTTACTATGTTCTAAATAGAGTAATAACTGCATTGCTGTTATTCAGTCCTAGGAAAACAGTGTCTTTCTGTCCTGTGTAAAGCCTACCTCAAATATAAACAGGCTTTGTCCTCTGAAAGGATGACACAAGATGTGTGTGGATTTGTTGTATCATACTCAAAAAATGAGAGAATTGGGGTAACAGTTCTACTTATGGGAAGTCTGTAGTATTCCTGACAGACAAAGCAACACATTAGAGACAGCCATTCCATTTTAAAACCTATTTTTCTGATACACTGGAATCTGTGTTGACTCAGTTGTTCTTGGTCACTCAGAGAAAAGGTCTTGAAATAAAGGAAAAGGTAACTTGAAGGGGAATGTGCAGTGGTTTTAAGCTATGTTAGAACACAAGATGTATTTGACTTCCTGGGGCTGCAGGCCAGTACAGGCCAGGAGGGCAGTGGTAGTGTGTGAGCAAAGGGCAGGGGAGCAGACTGACCCTTGACAGCTTTTTCTTCACTTTCCCCTTCCCCTGAAGCTCCAAGGTGATGCAGGAAAAGAGGTTTATCCCCCTCCACCTGCTACCTGTCATTGTATTCAAGTGGAGGAGTCTGTACCACCCAAACTTGTAATTTCCCTCTTCCTCACTTTGTCATTCTGATCCTGCATAGCTGGTTTTGAGATTTGGAAGCATCAGTAAGTGTATGCAGGCACTGCAAACTGACTGCCTTACCTAGCTAAGATTCCAGGAGGTAGGAATTCTAGGTGCCTTGAGTTGTACTAATGCTGATCACCTTTTAACTCATTTTATTTGCTCCTAGCTAACAGCACTGTAGTTAGAGCTTTTAAACTGTGGAAGAATTGTTGTCATAAAGTTTATTATTCAAACAGCAACATTAGAAATGATGAAGTAAAATTCCTATTTTCTCATGTATTCAGTTCTGTAGAATGAATGATTTTCCATAACAAATGGAAAGGCAGTTATTGTTATATCTTACATTTTTGTCTAATAGTATATAGTAGTCCATTCATATGATGCGTACATGATGCTTATTGTGCATATTTCTATTAATGTGTAATGAAATCTGTGCTGTATTTTTTATAGTTCAGTTCCAAGAAATAAAAATCCATTCCAGGAGGTAAGTCACGTAGAAATTATTTTTCAATGCTCATGTGTTAAAAATAAAAAAATCCTGAAGTGCAGTCATTTTTGATGATCCTGATTAAGAAAATGAGAGGTCTTATTTACAAAAAAGCACTTAGACTAATTATATCTAGTATTAATTATAATTAGCTGTTATTCTGAAGCTTTTCATCTTCAAAGGACTATGTAAGTATTAACTAATACTGGAGAAAAAAAGTAGAAAATTTTCTGGAAGATAGTTACAGGAATTTACTAATATCATAATTGAGTGAGCAATTTAAGTCCCCCATTTTTAGACCACATTTTCAGAATGCTCCCTAGATTTCATCCTTTGTCCAGCCTTAAACAACAGCATTGATGTAAATGACTATATTAAGGAGGCTCTGCAGTTAAAGAAAAAAAAACCAAAATAATGAATGTTACCATTTCATACAAATGCCTGTAACTTTCAGTATTTTTCTGTGTAAATATTTACAAATAGAAAAAGTCTTACCTGATTACTGCAAAGTTTCATAAGCAAAGTATTTACCTTGGCAATATACAAATGTTTCCTATTTCTCATGAAATATCCTAATTACCCTCAGGAACAAAAGAAATACCATGTAGTATCCTAGATATATCTAGATAGATAGATAGATAGATAGATAGATATATGGCTACAGATGGTCATACCAAAAATGTCAGTAATAAGATAAAGTCTATAAAATTCATATAGTATGATCAAACAATTTTGGATAATGAATGCTAAAAATAATAATACAGCCATTAAGTGTCCTTTTTCTAGACATGAATTCTCCTTTAAACACTGCCCAGAAAATACTGATGGCTTTTACCTGTAATACTAGAAATTATTACCAGTAGTAGGTGGGAAGGGAAAAAATGATAAAAAAGTGTATTTCTTTATGATAGAAGTACTTTATTTATGGCCCAGATAAACATCCATGAAGACTTTAACACTTTCTCTGGTCATTGGAAACATCTCTGGACAAAAAAGGAACATGTTGAAACTGTATATGTATGAGTATGTCTTAATAGAAGAGAGTGACATGTTAAAAGCTCTCAGCTTGCTATTCTGCATCCTACCAAAACTTCAGATATCTCCTTTCAGATAGGAAGCAGTGGTTCTGTATCCAGTTTCCTATAAGACCGCAGTGTGATTGTGATGATTTTTGTTGTAGGTTTAATTATCTGGTATATCACCACTGAAATTTCAAGAATTTGAGTGCATACTCTAATAATATGTCTGTTGCCTTTTAGGCCATAGTGTTTGTAGTTGGAGGAGGCAACTATATTGAATATCAAAATCTTATTGACTACATAAAGGTATGTGTACTTCTGTCAGTTGATTTACTGATAGAAACCAGATAGAGCATGTTTTCTGTAATATTTAGTATTTAGAAGACAAAGTCTATGAATTTAGCCTTAACATCCTTATTCTATACAGAGTCTGGGAAAAAAGGAATGTAAGAAATCAGTAGAAATTGTGGGTTACTAATTTAGACCGACAAAGACTTACTGTTTCTGAGATTTTGCTCATGTTGCCCTTTGTAGTTGAGTAAATAAACTGCATTCTCTTTTATTTTGTGTTCATACACACCAACGTGGTTGAAAACTGTCAGCAGATGTAGCAAACTGAATTACCCTGTTTCAGAGTAGTGTTAGTAGTTTTCATGTGCTGGTGTTAAATAAAGCAGCTGTAGCATATCATAACCTTGAAAGTAAGGAACTGCTGAGAATTCTCTAGTTTTCATAAATCTTGCAAAAGAGATACCCTAGTGCTTTTTTTGTATGCAGTTTTGCAATATGGAGTCAGTTTAAGCTCAGGCCTGCAGATAACACCATTTTATTGTATGACAATCTTAGTTGTGCATAAAGTATGTTGTTTCAGAAACCAACATAATACAAATACTATGCTATCTGTTAAAGCAAATATCAGATTGGCACCAATATCTAAGCATTTATTACTTACCCACAGTTAGAAATTTTCCCTACTGAGTTAGTAGAAGCTCATTCTTGTTAAACTGCATCATTTAATTCTGTGTAGAAATCATAAAAGGTGTCGTATGCTCAAGTAAGAAAATACACAATCAACTATGTAATGCTGGTGTAACAAATTTAATTTCTCTGGTTCCAACTGGCCAGACTAGCAGAACACATGTATACCAAAAATCAGTGGATGGTGAAAAATAACTAAATCATTGCAGTTCTGGGAGGCAGGAGTCGTATTCAAGCACTTTCCAGGAATTAAAAAAAATACCAAAGTAACCTTAGTAAAATTCTGAAGAAGGTAATAAATTATTTCATAGCAGCAACACACCATTCTTTCTTCCTGATCTTAACCTTGTTGTGGTACAGTTGTCCTGCCCTCTGGTAGCCTGGATTGAGGCTTTTCACACATAAGAGTAGATATGGAGCATTAGTCATTGAAAACTAGTTATTCTACAAAGCACATGAGAGTTTGATGTCCAGGTAAATTTTGAAGAACGCAAAGTCAGAATCTGTGTGCTGAGTTTCTCCCTCTGACAGGCAGCCATTTTGAAACAGAGCTGGTCTGGATAGAGGAAAGGATAGGAAGAGAAATGTAAATTAAAGAAATCATTTAGATTTGGCTTAGCACTCATCGCTGTCCTCAATAACAAATTCGGTGAAGCATCTGCCTGTGGCAGAGTGTATTGGCAAACATTTAGCTTGCTCCTTAGTCTACCCAAAGCCTCTTTAGCTGCTATATCAATCCAAAAGATGCCCAAGAGAATGACTATGTGTTACTTCCTATTAAAAAAAAATCTTCTGATTCCCCTAGAGGTAGTTCACTTGCCTGATTGTAACTGCATGCTGACAGAGCTGAGGTTTGCTCTGTGTGTCTACGCAGGACATAGGTGTGATGACAGATTAAACACTCAGCACTTCATACAAAGTGTCAGGAAGCTGAAGTTTGACAGGAATAAGAGGGCAAACAGAAGGTCATTTGTCAAACAGAAGAAACTGAAAACTATGGAAATGGTAATGTTAGATCTTATGGAGAGTTGGAAGTTGAAAATACTCTTTCTTCTTCTGGAGCCCGTGAACAGAGGTTTTTCATCACGGTTGTCACAGTTGTGACTGCAATGTCACAGCTGAAGTTTGCTGTATGTTCCTCCACTCAGACTGTGTACTTGAGCAGTGGGAGATGACCTCCCAAGGGGGAAGACTCCCTCACCTTTATTCCACTTAGCCCTTTGCTCTTGAAAAAACAAGGAAGGTTAATGAAAACCGTTATTCTCCCTCCCACCACCTGGAAACCTGTGTGCCTCTCCCAGGTGACACTTACAGTCTTATCCAACAAAATTTGCTTTTCCATGTGGTAGACTTTCAGCATCTATTGTTTCCACAGATGTAGCTTATTAATTATTCTCAAATTCAATCAGTCTTCCTCCAGAATAAAAAAGAGAAAAATCAACAGCTCTGTTCTTGCAAGCAGATACCACAGAGATTTTATTCATGGCTTTATTTTTCTAAGCACTATCTGTTTTGCCAGTTTGCTCCTGAAAGCACAGAGAAAGTATTTGAAAACTTTCTGAAACAGGAAGCAATGTTCATTCAGCTTTGACATTCCGGGATTTTTTTGTAGAAGAATTAAGAGAAACCTTCAAATCTAATTATTTGTAGTTCTGTGCTAGAATAGACTATCTCACTATGTCAAAAAGCAAATATTTATGCTGTCATTGAGGTAGATTGTGCCTTAAAATAAATATATTGTCCAAGTTCAATTCAACATGCTGAAAATGTGTCATCAAAATTGCAAGGCATAGGGAGCCTCCAAGAGGAGGCTAGCATACTGTTGTGTGCAAAAGAATTTAGTAGATCCTGTAATTTCCCTTTGTAGATGCTTTAAAAACTACTGCTTGTTAATCCTCTACTACACTGTTAAACAACTGATTTCCTATGGACTTTTCTTTTTTAGGGTAAACAAGGCAAACATGTCCTGTATGGCTGCAGTGAACTTTTTAATGCCACACAGTTTATAAAACAGGTAGATAACTTTGATAACCTGTATAATATTTATTACTCTTTATCTGTAAGTTGATTTATATAACTCTGCATCTCCATGGATATTTACCAAAAAAACCCTCAAATTAATCTGTGAAAGATTAATGCATGTTACCTATTTTATTTTTATTTGCTTGAAGTGGGGTTTTGATGTCATTTTTTAAAATTAGCTGTTGAAGGCCTGTTATCAATGTGAGTTCACACAGGTAATGGAGGTAAACAAGTTCATAATAATTGTGTTAATCCTATGGAAAAAAATTGAGCCAGTTCTTGGAACTTTCACAAACAGTATCTCTTTCTAGGGTTTTCTTGCAGCTTTTTCAAGTTACAAGATGTTTACACTTTTGTCCTGGTTTATAAACATCTACAGATATATAGATATAAAAGTAGTGGCCTGCTGGGAGCTTGATGTCCATACCTGTACTAAACTCTGCTGTTAAAAACATCATTACTTCTCTATAGAACTCCAATATGAATACAAAATAAAAATTATTCATGGTGGTCAGCAAATAGCAGCCCTTCAGTAGCTGTCACCTCCCATGGTTTGATGTCCTACTAAAATGAGAATAAGTTGTTATTCAAAGCTACATTTTAAAGAACTACATTTATTCTTGTTGCACTTGAAGGAGACAAATAGTACTTGATGACTTTTACCTCCTCATTCAGCTTAATTAACATTTTTTTGTCTTGACTGTGTACACTGTACCTTTGCTTCATGAGATACATTCATAAAAATTTGAAGCTCAAGTCTTCTCCTCTGAGGTTATGAATTAAATCGTCTATCACCAGAAGACATTTGGTTCTCAGAGACAAACAAAGCATATGTGACAGAAATATTTGCTGCATGAACTGCATGTTTGTTTGACTGAAAGAATAAGATTAGCAATCTAATGACTTTTTTCTCTTCATGTTTAGCTGTCCCAACTTGGCCAGAAATAAAACTGAAACACCGTTACCTGGATGGAAATGTGACAACAGAGAATTGTTACAACATTCAGATGTCTTCATATCTTTATTTTTGTCATTATAATAAAACTTTAACCCATTTCATTAATATTATAACTTTTAAAAAAAATCTGTAATTAATACGGTGTATATCAGCATTTCAGAAATAAAACTTAAAACCTACTGTGTTTTTGGTGGAGGTCAGTTTCACTATTATTGCATTTTTATTGCAGTACTAGCTGTGGTATATGACAGAACTGGCTGAAAAGTATGGCATTTTCAAGTTCTTATATGTAAGTTTCTGATACAGTAAGCAGGGCAATAGTTATAAGAAAAGGTCAAGTCTGTCTTTAGGAGTTATGTTCTTCTTGAAAGCGAGAATATCTGTATTTAACAAAATTCAAAAGAGCAGAACTGCCTTTCAGGACCACAGACAAAGAGCTTTAGTGTAAGAGAACTACTTCTAGTTCTTACCCTTTTATTTTAGCAAAGTCATTTGATTTGTGCAGTCTTTGCATTGTAGTCGAAAGATGTACTGGAAGATACCTTCAGTACAAGTTTCTGGTACAGAAATTTAACTTTTCTTTTTAAGTTAAGAGAAAATTGCTTGCCAACACAGTCAGTTTCAAACTGTAAAACTGAAATCTTTAATTTTCTTCTGCACTTTTTATTGTAACTGCTTTGACTGTTACGTTTGGGAAGAACCCAAGTCATACTCACAAAACAGCTCTTAACTTGTATCAGCACATATTTAAAATACCATTTTTAACAATTCCATTAAGTAGGGGCAGTTTAGTAGTTTAAAGAAACTGGTAATGATAATTTTGGAGAATTATCATTACTTATCAAAGAACATAACAAATTCTTTTTATGGGTGGAGGTCTCTGTCTTTAGAAACCTCCTCTCTGGAAACAGCTACTGTGAAGCAATAATATGACTTCAAAACAAGGCCTAACACACTCAAAATGTGAAAACATTTCTTGTGGGTTTATTAGCCAACTGTGAGAATTACTGGCTTACTGTAAATTTTTCAGTAGTGCTTTTTGCACTGTTTTTCAATGTTGAATGTTAGTTTTGCACTAAACACGATGCCCTTTCCCCAACTTGATTGCTTTTCAGAACATCTGTACAAGAAATGCAGTTGATCTATTCCTTAAAAGTATCACAAGAATAATATGCTTAATCTAGACCATGTTATCAAAAAGTAGTAATGTTATTTAATTATCTAAGTGTTGTTTGTAATCTACTCCACAATACTGCTATATAGTTCTAATTTTTCTGAGTCAATAAATATATTTACTATGGTGTTCATTGTAGTTGTTGCATGTGAACACTGTCCCAGATTTCAATAAGCAAGGGCTCACTATCAAATGCAGTTTGTTATTCTAATTCCATATATATATACACATATATGTGCTATATTTGTTAGCAAAAACAAGGCCAAAGGGGGTCAGGAAAAGAAAATTACATTTAAAGTGTTTATCACTTCTTGTGGGAGTTTGTTCCAGGTGCTTGAAATGATCCCTCCTCAACTGTGCTTCCTGTGCAGAGAGTTTTAACCTTGCAGCTGACAACCAGCTTAGGAGAAATCTGCCGCTTGGTTTTTGTCCAGATCTTGGCACTGCTCACTTGAACGAGAAGCACTCCTAAATCCCAGCTTACAGAATTTGCTTTTGCAGTAAACTGTGTAAAGATAGAAGAACTTACTTTGTTGGCTACATTCAAAAATCTGTTTTCCATCTTTAGTGACTCTGGAGACAGGTTTCATTCGTGCCCAGCTTTATAACTGGATCTTTGGGTCTGCTGTGTCAGCAGGCTCTGGTCAGTTTGGAGTTCAGGTTTTAAAAAATAAATACAGTTTTTGTACTTCAAACCTTCTTCTCCTTCATCTCCAAAACAGTTTTCTGGTTGAGTTGTAGTAGTAGTCCTGAAGCTCTCTGTTACTTTAAGCTGTGCATTACTGCTCTGTCCCTGTAACAGCATGCATGCCTCATGCTTCTTCCTTGCTAACATAACCTGAATTATGGCATGCAAGTTTTTGTTACATGGCCCTTTTGCCCAAGTACCTCTGGATCTGGGAATGTGGAAGGTGGTTCAAAAAGTCTCTGGTTATTTAGAGGCAAACAATGTTAAAAATAAGCTCTCTCTTTGGTAAGCTGCTTCAATGTACAGCTGTCACAGTGCCCTTCATCTCTTCAAAGGTCCCTCAAAAGGCCTGTGCTTAAAGGAGAGGTTATGCCTGGCTCAGTGAGTCTTTTAAGTAAAATTGCAGCATTCACGTTGCTAATAAATATTTTAGGTGGTGCATGGAAGACCAGTGAGGTTTGGAACTTTTCTAGCCCCTTCTCTGTAGCTAAAGCTCTGACAGGGCCCGCTGGTGAGGCAGCATCAACAGCAGCTCCAGCTTCCTCATCTCAGGACAGACAATTCTTCATTGGTATTTGTTTTTCATTTAAGTAAGTGTCAAGTGCTGTACCTCTTCTCAGGAAGAAAATTAGCCAATTAGCAGTCTGGTCTTCAGCTGTAGAAAATTCAGTTGATCTTTCAGGAACTATGGACCGTTCTTATAAACAGTTGCACATACTTCAGAATACATGCACATTTTGAAATTAAAGCCCTTTGCTTGCTTTCCTGCTTAAATTTGAAGATTTTAGAATATTTAGGTGGATATTTTGTGACTTAATGGTGAATTCAGTGAAAATTCTGTTTTTTCAGAATTAGACACTCTAAAGAAGTAAAAATAAAAAAATTAATCAGAATGAAGGAAAGAAGCTTCTGGAGACCAGCACTTAAATTAAATGGCCTTATTTGTATGATACTCTCTGATGCAAATCCGATGTAAATCTTTCTTAGGCTTGAAGTAAATTTTGCTATTGATTGATGGTGCTCCCATCAATCTGAACAGAATGTAAAATAGGAGGTTTTTCACAAAACCCAGAGGTTCTGCAGAGAACAGGAACACTGCTATCAGTCACAGTTACAGAGCCAACCCAGCTGTGCATGCATGGCTTCAGGACTAAAGCTGAACAAAGGGCAGCATTTCTCTTTTCACTTAAATGACATATTCCAAAATGGAATTGCTTAATGGCTAGTTCAGTGTGCTGGCTAGAGCAGTCCTATGAGATTTAGGAGGTAGAAGGTTTATAAGAGGGTACATGGGAACTTACTCCAAAACTACCACAACTGCATTCTTGAGATCTGAAATAAAAAGTGTTGGGCTGGAGCATTGTATCCCTTATTTACTGACAGTGGAGGCACCCACTCCCTCTCTTTGTTAGGATCATTCCTTAGTTTTGACTTGTGGCTGACAGATGGCTCTGGCTCAGAGAAAGCCAAGCCTGCCCAGTGTTCTAGTGGTACAGAAAAGTGAGCCACAGTGTCAGTGAATTCTGTGTAGCTTCAGAGACCAGAGAAGATGTTAATATTTCTTACTGTGAATCAGTAGATTAATTGACCCACTTCTGTTTTATTTGGAAGTGGCTTAGTAACCCCATTCTGTGCAGCAGTTGCAGTTGTTTTCAGCAACATTCAGATGCATTCTGCTCTTTAATATGGTCACATGTCACTGCAACACACACCATCCTTCACCCAGCATACAAAAACCTGCAGGTTGAATCCATCAATGCATCATATTTTTTTCTACAATTATAAACCATTAGGTAGCTCAGTTGCCACTGGAATTTTAAATTCTATTGATAAATTTGTATCTTTCCCTTTATCTACTCGTGTCTTTCCCCTTATGTAAATCAAGCAGCACTAGATTTTATTTTCCTAAAATGTTGTTCCAGCTCCTTCTCATAGTTGCGTAGGTTGACTTGTTTGATTTAGTAATGGAAGAGTGGTCTTTATCCTGTGAAACCAGACTCCTATGCTCAAAAGCCTCAGAACTATCCATTCCAGGTCCTATTTCAGTCTCCCCTCTCATATGTGCATTCCTATTTCTGGCAGTACAAAAGGAATAGATCAAAGGCATATGCTTTTACAGAAAATTGGTTTTAGCACCTCAGCATAGACAGGTAATACAACTCATTTACTGCTCTGAATTCTAACTTGTATTATGTAGGTAGCATGAAAATCAATGGATGAAAATTAATGGATGAAAATAAGGTCCTAGAAGGGGTATGTAGCTTTCCTTAACAATAATTGGTGTGGATTCAGTATTTTCTGACAGGAATAGGGTTCTCCATAGTGTTTCCTACAGTAACACCATTTCCCCACCTTTTCTCCTTACCCAAATAAATTTTAATCTTCTCTCTACATATAAACTTTCCAAGGCTTTCAAATCATACTGAAGATACAGTTTTAACAAATAATAGGATTGTTCCTATTTCATTTTGCAGAGTAAACTTACACAGGTCAATAATTTATTGTGAGTTAGACTTAATTGAGCTGTTTAGTTTACTCCCTGAAATGATCTAGGACCATTTGTACATTCAGCTACAATGGCAAAGCTTCCTGGGCTCTTCCTGCATCTCTAAACCAGGGGAATAATTGCAATATGCTGTATAAGTTGCCAAATGACAATGGAAATTCTGTTCTGAAGTGTTTATTACATTCAATCTGATACATGTTCTCAAAAGACTTTTTAAACCATAAATCAACACATATATATTTTATCTGTTCCAAGTGCAAATATCTGTGTTTGTTCGCTTTTTCTGTACCACAATATTCATCATATGAAATAGATTGAATAAGGTCAACATTTTCTTCCATCTACAAATCCCTTGGGATCAGTGTCTTCCTACTTGGTTTGTCCATTCTTTTATGCATCAAGTTCTCTGTATCCATGACAAAGACTCTCAGATCAGGTCACAAAACCAAAAACAAATGAGGGAGAGATGATGGATTATGACACAAAATGTTTCACAGGCAAGCACACTTTTTTCATGTAGAGCTAGTGTAATAGCAAAGCTAATTGTATTGCCAGTTTTGCTAGCACTGAAATAAACCCTCTATTTTTATATGTCAAAGAAGTGAAACACAGGTGGTGCCATTTTTTCTTTAGATTCCCTTACCAGTATCTTCCAGTCATCTCAGAGGATGTCTTTTGCTTCATTTTCCTGGGATTGTTGGCAGCTAAACTGCTGAGCTCCAGCTGGGGTGTGAATCTGCCCTTGAACTGGAACATGATCCATTCCCATAGATCAGCCATGGGCCCCATTCATTCAAGTATTTTGTTTGTG